AATATATCTACTTTATGTTTATGCCTATTATCATTGTTGACATTTAATTGTAAATGTATGACGGGAGAAGGCTGTGATAAATTGTAAAAACTTGTGCCCCATCCCTTGTTTAATTTTATTGGCAACAAATTTATGTTTAAAGCTAAATAAATTTCAATTCTGAACACTGGCAAGTGTGCAATTAACTTCTAATGATGAATAATTACTGTTCAATAAGTTTGAATACGGACTTAGAAATCATATAACTTGGTTTCATAGTGCGGTAAGAGGTTGCAGTTGCCCGACGGCCCCTCTCTGGGGGCCCCTTTGGAAACCGTTTCATCTCGCTCGCACCACTTGTGTTTACTGCCTAGTCAGGTGACGTTATCGGTGCTATATTTAGCAGGGCTTTCCCGAACAATTCAAGTGGTCAAACTGGACATTTGGAACAAACTATGAATATGGGGATAGCGAGGTAACATAAGTGGAAGTGCATACAATACATAAATTCATTAAAAAAAAAACGCCTTTTCAGTGATGTCCCTTTAAGACAAGAAACCCCAAATATATACCCTCTTCTGAAAACTTCATAATCAACATCTTCTTCTACGATTCATTGTCAGCACATGCCAAGTCTTTTTTGAAAGATTGAAAGATTGGCATGTAAGACCATTTAAAAAAACATGCAGAATACTAATAAACTGTTTCTCTTACCATCCACATCTCTCTCTGGAGTCACCAGCAACATGGACGCTATCTCTATGGTGAAAGCACGACTGCTGATCTACCAAAACAACATTTAAATAGCATTTATCATATGAATACCATGTTATGCAGTGTCATAAAGCTATCACATAAATTATGTTTATGTAATGTGTGTAATACCACTCCAGAAATGACGTCAAGATCGAATAGGAACAATCAATGTGACGTCTCTTCTTTGTGAAGGCCCAGCAGACGCAATTTTTATCGTTTCAGAGTCGGCCAAGTGCAAAATACTTGTTTCAAATCAAAATTATAGATTACTTTGTTTTATATGATAAAAAGAATCAGTCATTCGTTTCCCTTTATATTAGATTTATGATATTCGTTTTGAATTTTTCATATTTGCTCGCCAGAGGCTCGCAAACATGAACAAGAGATACCATCTTCATTAGTTCTTTGAGTCATGTTAATAGTAAATGCACCTTGATAACATTGGTAACATTTGATCAAAACTTAATACTATGTATATATAAAAGACAACCTTCAAAGTGAGTTTGTCATTTCACATATTTATTAGTACAGTACTGAATGTGAAAGAAAGGGAACCAATTATTGCAATATGAGAAAGATCTGTTTAGTTCTTCCTTCGGCCATTTTGTTTTTATGATCAGTCTCAAAATATAACATGCACAACAAGGGACCAAGGGGAACCTACATATCAAATTTGAGAAAGATCCCTCAAGTTATTCCTGAGAAATAGTACTAACAAACCGTCAATGTCAGAAATTGAAGATGGCCGCTGGTCAGCTATTTTGTTTATCTGATCAGTCTCAAAACTCAAGTAAACATGAACAATAAAGGACCATGGGAACCTACATATAAAATTTTGGAAAGAACCCTCCAGTACTTCCTGGGAAATAGCACAAACAAACCTTAACTGTCAAAATCAAAGATTTGTTTATCCGATCAGTCTCATAAGAAAATATGCACAGCTACAGACCAAGGGGAACCTAAACGTCAAATTTGAGAAAGATCTCTCCACTCTTTATTGAGAAACAGGGATTACAAACCTTCACTGTCAAAATCCATGATGGCTGCCTGTCAGCTATTTTGTTTTACTGATTAGTCTCAAAAAAAACATGAACAACAACAGACCAAGGGGAACCTGCATGCTCAATTTGAGAAAGATCTCTCCGATAATTATTGAGAAAAAGCGATAACAAACCTTCACAGTCAAAATCCAAGATGTTTATCTGATCAGTCATAAAATTAAAGATGCACAACTACAGACCAAGGGGAACCTACATGTAAAATTTGAGAAAGACCCCTTCCCGCCCTTTCTGAGAAATAGTAATAACAAACCTTTAATGTCACAATCCAAGATGGTGGCCTATTGGCCATTTTGTTTATCCTATCAGTCTAAATATTAAGCATGCATAACTACAGACCAAGGAAAACCTACACATAAAATTTGAGAAAGATCCCTCAAGTACTTCCTGAGAAATATCGATAACAAACCTTCACTGTTAAAATCTCCAAGATGGCTAACTGTCTGCCATGTTGTTTATCTGATCAGTCTCAAAAGTAAATATGCACAACAAGGGACCATGGGAAACCTACATATAAAATATGAGAAAGATCCCTCCAGTACTTCCTAAGAAATAGCAATAATAAACCTTCAATGTCAAAATCCAAGATAGCTGCCTGTCGGCCATTTTGTTTATCTGATCAGTCTCAAAAGTAAATATGCACCACTAGGGACCATGGAAAACCTACATATAAAATTTGAGAAAGATCCCTCTGTAAACTCCTGAGAAATAGAGATAACCTAAATGGTTTAAGGACGAAAGACAGACGACGGAACACGGACGCAGGGCGATTTGAATAGCCTGCCATCAGATGATAGTGGGCTAAAAATCCAAAACTTGTATCATAAATCTAATATGAAAGGAAACTTATGACAGATCTTCTATATATTTGGAGATTTTTTTTATTTTTTTTTAATGAACGTTAGAGACTTTCTGAATATATCACTCCAAATGCTCCTTTAAATCTAACTGTTTTACATAGAACCATAAAACACTAATCAGGCACTGACAATTAACACTCTCATGAATGGATGCCCCTAAATAAACAGTATCATTAAAATAAGGCTAAACCCTATTTAGAGGCCAGGCACAGGATTGGAACATGCACCTTCCAGCACACCAGTTTTATTAACCATAGGAAAAATGCAATAATACAGTCCTCTAAAAGAAAGGGTCAGAAATTGGAATTGAAGTGTTCCTTTTCCTTACATTCCCTTCAAACATATCTTAGATTTACTAAATACTATACCTTTGAGTGTTTAGATAAGCGATAAAACCACTCCACCATTTTTCCAAAAGCTTCATTCGGCAAGTCTTTCAGAATTTTAATTACAGACTAAAAATAGAAAAATACAAATATTATCATTGATTTTACAAATTTAATCCATCTTATCCTGCAATTACGGAATAGCAGGATATCTCCCATTTTCTTGTATAAGGAAATTACAAACTGAACTGTATGAGCGGTACCTCTAAAGAAAATCTAAAATCTTGAGTCATGGGGTGAGTAGGGCTGCAATGATATCACAATACGATACGCAGTGCGTTATGATGCTTAAGATACAATATGTATCATGATACAGATACCTGCTTAAAAGGTCAACTTCATAACAATTAAGTGCAGAATTTAATCCAGCTTTGTCATAGACCTTTATAATAAATTTATACATTTGTACTATCGAAAAATATATTTTTGTATAATTTCTAGAACTTTTGGGTATGACTGCACAGTGAACCACATCATTACTGGAGGACTCAAAAAATACAAGTACACGGTTTTTAGAGTTTGATAAAAATTAATTGATAATTTAGATACTGTTAGTGTATCACGATGCAGGCAAACATAACAATTTGATAAGATACAAAAGTATCGCGATACAACGATATATAATTTCAGCCCTAGGGGTGAGATAAATGCTTTTTACTTTATTTTTTTTGTTATATACACAAATGGGGATATGTTATTGAGAAGTTTTATATCTTATTAAATGCTGAACTCTTGAATAAACTACCGGTTTCTCTTCCTTTCACCTTTCATCTGTGACATTATCAACGTTTAAGCTTTTCTGCTGTCCCACCTGATCCACACATGACAAAGTCCAGCTAACTTCGCCCAATACCATATATTTCTCAAGCTATTGATCTTGATCCACAAGGTCAAGTTATATAACTAGCAGGGTTTTACTGTACTCCCCTTTCTGACCCTTCACTTGCCTACATACGGCCCTTTGGGACACCTGATTAGTCCTTTATAAACGATTTGTTTAATACACTGACCTTTGACCTGTACTGCATGCTGATCAACATGACCCCTGACCTGTGCTTTATACTAACCTGTGTGACCCTTGACCTGTATTCAGTTTTGTCTGGGACCTTGGTACACATGTGTTGGAGAAGGGTCCGTACACTTGGGTGGACACGATCTCCACACTGCTTCATCATGTGGCTATCAACAAAATCAATACATCTGTAATTTATACTGAACCGATACTTTGGAAAGGGACCTAGAAATATTGTTTTGTCTAAATACCATTTTTTAATACTATAAATACTTTGTTTAACTAAAGGTTTTTTTACATTTAAATGTTATATTCATTATAAACTGTAGAAAGAACTTTTTTTTAAATAATTTTAATTTGGAACACTTGGGGCAAAAATTGTGAAGAAAGCACACTCATTCCCCAGGGTGATTGACTCCAAACTGGACAAATAAAACCAAATTCACATTCACACCATTCTACCTTTCTAACACAGGATCTTGGTCTAGATAAATTTCATCTTATATTTGGTAAAGTATACAATAAAATGTTATAACTTACTTCGTAATTGTACTTAAAGCCCTTCAAATACTGGACAAAGTCAAAATAGTGGACTATGCATTACATTTAGCTGTACCACTAAGTATGTTCATCAATGTGAATTCAACACTGCAAAATTACTGTGTGGGGGGGGGGGAATATTATTCAGTTTTAAGTGGAGGTAATGTCATCAAAGACAAAATTACTTCAAAATTACATTAATAAGATTATTTGTATTTATTTATCGGGTTTTTTCCATGACATTTTCACCCTGTTCTTAATCTGATTAAACAAATACTAAGTTAGTCTCAAAAATCAATCATTGTGTCGTGGCTTTTTGACATCATACAGTTCTTCAGTGTTATCTGTAAACAAATTAAATTCTACACATCTTACCAGATAAATGAAGTTGCTTGTTCACAGGCGACCTGGACAGGTTTGGGGATGGTTGTGGCAGCCACTGCCTTATTATCTCCAATCAACATCAGCAGACTGGGCATGAGGTTCTTACAGATCTGTAGAGTGGAAAACAAGAGACCAACTGGGCCTGTAGCTCCAAACTGACATGCTGCAAGTTACATTCTGTAAATAAGTCTGTTTTTGCCAATACTATTTCTTTGACTGCTCTTCTTACATAAACTTCACTTATTTTCCAACAATTATGAAACAAGTTTTTCCAATGTATATCAATTGCTCTTGTTGGCCTGGATTAAAGCACCCAAAGCATTATCATATGAGAGGAATCTAGAGAACTCGGAGAAAACCAATATGGTTGGGCAGGTGATCACCAACATTCTTCTATCAAGACGTCTTTATAGTGAAAAATAAAAACACTACCAACTGCACCAATTAACTATTTCTCAAGGATTTGGAGTCACAAAAGGAACATTCCCTGTATAATTGTGATTGAATAAATAAACACAAAACATATGAATTTTTGGTCATCTTTACTCACAAACTGAAGAGAAACTATATACCTTTTCAAATGTAAGTGTCTTGCAGTAATGCAACTTTTTTGCAGAATTAAGGTTTCATACATTCAACATAAAACTGATGCATGGATGTTTCGCCCTGAAGGTGTCACAAAAAGAACAGATTTATATAATATTGAATTATTGTATTTTATATTGAAACCATGACAAGGCTGTTGACACTATTTTGTTTTTATGGTATGCAATGACCCCTTTAATTCAAACACTTCACATATGAACTGATACTTACTGCATGGAACAAGGACACAATGTGATTATGTAGAGGAAGGCACAGGAAGCCAAGACCCTGAAAAAAACATGGACAAACTTCATTATGGTACATTGGCAATGATTTCAAAAATTAAGACTCAGACAGACTTCAAAGACTGCATGATATTCAGGTTTAATCAGATGACAAATTATTTGAAATGAGTATCAACAGTTGTAAGTGGAAAGTATATTCAACCAAAGGTTTATTATAAGCAATCATCCCAAAACGCATGTCTAATAATGGGTACACCTCCAGCTAGCATGCCAGTTGGACCTGATACCAACCTTGTAAGCAAGACCTGCCACAGGCAACCTGGAGGAGGGACTGAAATGATACAAAGTAAATCAAATTTAAAACTAAATATTTTATAGTTATAGTAACCATACTTACCTTTTACAAAACTTCATTTTTTTTGCAAATTAAAGAATCGCCTAGAAATGCTGATTGACATTTGAATATTACTGCATAACTTAAAAAAGTTTTAATTAATAAATTAAAGTAAAAAATGTACTTGTACGGTACAATTAAATGCCCACCGCAGTCATTTTAAAACCTTCATGTTTTGATATCCACTGAAAAGTACTGGCGACAAATGTTAACACAACCCGGTATTAATTATTTATAGGTAATAAAATGACACTGATTATCTCACTATTTGTTTCCTAAATACAACAGTGTGGAGTATATATGACGGAAAGTGATAATCCATTAGTGTTGATAATTCTGTAAAAAAACAAGCAGCCAACGAGAATCACCCTCAGCAACATGGCGCATGTGATGGACAACATCAACACAGGTTACAGACTTCGGAAATTTAATTGATAAACAAAGAAATGTCTAATTTGATAAGATCACAATGCAAACTACAGTGTGTTATTAAACATGCTATTTTTATTTCTGTAAATGTATATATAGACATTTAAAATAAATTTCTAAGCTTGTGTTTCGTCACATAAGAATACCGTTCTGTCTTATGTACATGATCTCAATGCTTGATGCTCAATATTTGCTAGTCGAAGTCCCGATGTTTTGAATTTTATTTAACTCAATGAAGAATAGTTGATGTACTAGATATATAAATAAAAAGTATAAAAGTTAAGGTGGCTTACCATCTCTCATTAAAGTTTCCATTGAAGGTGTCAGTCTCATGTCGTGTGAGTTCAGTTAGAATCTGTACAGTATGGTACAAGGATGCCTCAGACTGACGCATAGGTGTGGTCTCCAGCAGAAACACCAGGTCCTGGAAACAGGCACATAACTCAATATATCAGAGTTGTTTCCATTTTCAAACAACAAATTAACAACAAGAGGCCCAATGGGCCTGAATCGCTCACCTGGTATTAATCTCACACTTGCAATCTTAAAAGTGGACTAATATACAGCTACAGGCAAAATATATGTGTTTGATCCATTTGAATCTATTAAATGATTTAAACATACGACGCCTGCGACCTTGAAAGATTATAGCCTTCCGTTACAGCATATTTCTGGCTAACTATCATTACCCTGGACCTTTTGAATATTCAGAACGAGTCATTTAAAGATTTAAACATATTTGAACCCTGTGACCTTGAATATGAGCAAAGGTCATTAATTTGAACAAACTTGGTAGCCCTTCATCCCAGCATGTTAATGGCCAAATGTCATCATCCAAGGCCTTTTGGTTATTAAGAAGAATTTGTTAAATAAAGTTTTTAAACATATTTGACCCCTGTGACCTTGAAAATAGATGAAGGTAATTCATTTGAATAAACTTGGTAGCCCTTCATCCCAGCATGTTACTGGCCAAATGTCATTAGCCTATGCCTCTTTGATATTCAGGAGAAGTTATTTAAAGGTTTTAAACATATTTGACCCCTGTGACCTTGAAAATAGGTGAAGGTCGTTTGTTTGAACAAACTTGGTAGCCCTTCATCTGAGCATGATACTGGTCAAATATCATTGTTCTAGGCCTTTTGGGTATTCAGGAGAAGTTGTGTAAAAGTTTTAAACATATTTGACCCATGTGGCCTTGAAAATGGGTGAAGGTCATTTATTTGAACAAACTTGGTAGCCCTTCATTCCAGCATGCTACTGGCCAAATATCTTCACCCTGGGAATTTTGGTTATTCAGAAGAAGTTGTTCAAAGTTTTTAACATATTTGACCCCTGTGACCTTGAAAATAGGTGAAGGTCATTTATTTGAACCAACTTGGTAGCCCTCTATTACAGCATGCTACTGGTCAAATAGCATCATCCTAGGCCTCTTAGTTATTGAGAAGATGTTGTTTAAAGGTGTTAAACATATTTGACCCCTGTGACCTTGAATATAGGTAAAGGTCATTCATTTTAACAAAACTTAGTAGCCCTTTATCCTAGCATGTTACTGCCTAAATATCATTATCCTAGGCCTCAAAGTTATTCAGAAGTAGTTGTTTAAAGATTTTTTAAGATAATTGACCCCTGTGACCTTGAAAATGGGTGAAGATCATTTAATTGAACAAACTTGGTAGCCCTTCATTCCAGCATGCTACTGGCCAAATATCTTCACCCTGGGAATTTTGGTTATTCAGAAGAAGTTGTTCAAAGTTTTTAACATATTTGACCCCTGTGACCTTGAAAATAGACGAAGGTCAATTATTTGAACAAACTTGGTAGCCCTTCATCCCAGTTTGCTTCTGGCCAAATATTATCACCCTAAGCCTTTCGGTTGTTAAGAAGAAGTCGTTTAAAGTAAAATATTGACACCGGACGCCGCACCACGGCATAAGCTCACTTGGCACTTCGTGCCAGGTGAGCTAAAAAGCTTATAATAAAACCTCTGTAAGTTCAATTTCAAACGACTGAATTTAACATTCACAAATGAATTATTAGCAATGAAGTTATATACCAGGAATTTGCAAGAATTCATGTCCTCAAAGTCTGTATGGTATTCGGAGAAGAGAATACAATCCTGCATAAATGTAACTTGCAATGATTACCTGGTAAATGTGCAGGAAATTTCAAAATTTACATTGAATAGATAAGTCACATGGTACAATTTTCAAACACTAGATTTTTAAACATACCACTTACAAGGTGTAAATATTGTCATATTAGTACATACGTAGATCCAGCTTTTGAGAAAAATGTCTTTCTATAAAAATAACTAGCAACACTTATTGGTGTTATATTCAAACAGTTTTAACATCAAACATACCAACCAATCGCAAAAGTTTGCATAAATAAATAAGTTTGCAATCAAAGAACATTGAAAGAAATTACCCACAATGTTGTGTGTACATATGAATGTAGACTTTTAAACTAAAAGGCATTCCAAAGTAATTTGTTGTTACACATCATTTGATATTACAAAAGTTTAGTGAACAGTTTATACCCGTAGAAGTTCCATCAGAAGTTTCTTGATTGCAGTGACTTCTTGTGGTGCCATTTCCTCTGCATCTTCATCGTCATCATCACTGAAGTCCTGCAGATGGGAGAATTAACATTTATAGGCTAAACTGTCTATAACTTCACAATTACAAGAGGATTACATTATCAAAGAAACGAATGATATTTTACAAATGTTTTCTATAACTGAAGACTTACAAATGATTTCATAATTTTTATATGTAATTATTGTATGTATGAACAAGAATAACCTAAATGTATGCTAATTTTACCAGAAAAGGATTTTTTCATATCTGTACATAATTAACTGATAATCAGCATATCTAAATTAAAGTTTCAATGTAATACAAGTGTTTAACCTAAGAAAACTTTGTTAATATGGGAATAAATTGGCATTTCTGTTTCACTACCAACCTTAAATTTTTACATCAACCTCTTTTTTTCCACTCAATTTATCACAAGCACCATTCAAAGTCTAAAATGCTATATAACTCTTGTAAATTTTCGCTTTCATCTTAGAAAAAAGATCCCTTAGTTTTTGACACCTGAAAGCCAAAAATAATTGTTCCCAATAGTAAAGATTAAACTACATGTACACTTATCTGGGAAGAAAATAAAATCCTGATTTTTTTATCAGCAAATGAAGTATCTCAAACTCACCACATTAATATCAACTGTGGGGTCCACCGTCTGTTTGCTGCCCCGACTTTTCTTGCCTTTTTGTGTCCCAGTAGTGGCAGCACTCCTTTTTCTCTTACTGGAGCCTAATAAATAGAAACAAGAGGCCCATGGGCCTTAACGGTCACCTTATATTTATACAGAGAGTTGATTTTGTTTTTAACATGAATAGAAATATTATTCAAAGTGACAAAAAAAATAAAACCACCTTATTCAATATCTAGCATACAGATTTCAGACTAAAAAGGATTTGAAACTAGCACCTCTGATTCTTAACAAGGAAAATGAAGAAATTTTAGCACACTGACTCCTTTGAGCCCCACCCTACAGCCCTTGGGGGTAGGGCTGGCTCAAAATTTTCAAAGTATCAAACTGTCAATTCAAGGTTATAATTCCAATCAAGTTATTAACATGTAATATTCAAAGTATCATTTGCCATTATAAACCATAATAAATTTTGCCCCCCCCCTCCTTCCCCAGGGGGTAAACGTGAGACCCTAGGGTCATAAACCTTAAGACCCTTCCATCTATGAAGAGTATTTGATTCTACCATATCTGGGTCTTGAGAAGAAGATTTTTGAAATTTCAGTAAATTCGACCCTTTTTGGCCCCACCCATCAGCCCCTGGGGGTCAGTCAGGGCTGATATGTGCTTATTATCAAACTGCTACCTAATACTGATAATGCTAACCCAAATTGAATTACTTCCAATGGAAATTAAACAAATGTTGGTCCAAAATGTGATTTCCTTATATAAACTATAGTAAAGTTTACCCCCTCCCCAGGGGGAAACGTGAGACCCCAGGGTCATGAAATTCACAATTTCGGTAAAGCACCTTAAGACTCTTCCATCTATGAAGAGTATTTGATTCTATTATATCTTGGTCTTGAGAAGAAGATTTTTGAAATTTAAGTCAATTCGACCCTTTTTGGCCCTGCCCCTGAGGCCCCTGGGGGCTTGGAACTAGACCGGACCCTATTTTTGTTGACCTTTGTCCATGAAAGGTCCCTGCAAAATTTCATTGAAATTGGTTCAGGGGTTTTGGAGAAGAAGTCGAAAATGTAAATTGTTTACGGACGCACGGCGGACCACGACGGACAAAAGGCGATCGCAATAGGTCACTTGAGACTTTGTCTCAGGTGACCTAAAAATCACAATCATCTATATTTTAAAAAAAAAAATACTGATCTGTTTTTTTCAACATATCATTGAATATTGGAAGGCTCTTTTTAAAACCAAAATCCTATAACAATATCAATAAAATATGAAACATTATTTCAAACCTGGGACAAAACATTAATACATATAAATGGCTGACCAAATAACTAATCAACATGCTGTAATTTCCGAAAAAAAGTTAATGTTATTCCTTTTTTCAGGATGGTGTAATTTGCCATTTTCTGAATTAATACGAAAATAGAGGTAAGGGAAGTTTTATTTATACATCGCATATACATTTAATATCTACTCTTAGTTAAGTATCATGTTGTTTTGTTGTACTTGAAATGTTAAATACATAATTCATTGACATATAAAATATACATATTTTTCCATACCTTTTATTCGACATACCAATTATTCATTTTATGTGTTTTTTGTTCATAAAAGAATTCTACAGGAATTGCTTTTATATGTTATTGAGTAGATACGATAGGTTTTTAGTGGCTTAGTCAGTTTATAAATGGCTATTACTTATTTAAAGACCACAATGCTTAATTAGTTTTGATATACGTTCCGTACCAATAGTGGTCCACTGTTTCAGCATATCTATAGTCTTCTCATACAGGACAGGATGGAACACATGGAAGGCACTACTTCCTGTAAACAACAAGCAAATCAAGTGTCTTAATACAGAAAACATGATATGTAAAGTGTCTTAATACAGAAAACATGATATGTAAAGTGTCTTAATACAGAAAACATGATATGTAGAGTGTCTTAATACAGAAACCATGATATGTAAAGTGTCTTAATACACTAGATTTAATTGGGAAAGGGAAAATAAAGATAATGATGATGAGACGTCAACAAAAAACAAAAGCTTCTGTCTGTCCAAACTTCCCCAAGACACCTTCCCCCTCCCATTAAACTTGAAAGACACCTTCCCCAAGTTCCCCTCCCATTAATCTTTAAAGACACCTTCCCCCTCCCATTAAACTTTAAAGCTTATCTGTGTACTTAACAAATACGACCATAGTTTATTTGATCATTTTTATATACAATGAGACCTGTCTGAAACACTGTCAGGCATAACATATAGGTCAGTCTCTGCCTAAACAAGTTGCATTCCACAATAAAATCTTGATTTATGAATTTATTTATATCATTTTATGAATTAATATCTATATCTAATATAAAAAAATATCAGCACCAAGTCTTACCTGGTATGTCTAATGGCAAAAACACACAAGTCCAATATACACTAAACTTACCCGGTACTGTTAATAACTTCAAGTAGCCAGAACAAGACAAAAGGGCAGATTTTTTTTTCACGATGTCTGCAGTTTTCTGCAAGAAATAAAAATTGGAGGGAACCTTATAAATGACCAAATCACAGTCCACATGTACGTAATGCAACTAACTGATCATTTAATTCCCAATATGTGACTACTTTACGTGTAAATTGCAGAAATTACAAAAAAAAATACAAAACATAGTTATTCAGACCAATTTTATTCATTTTTATCATATTTTTAGGTATTTTAGAAAATAAGATGAGATTTAAATTGGTTTTGATACCAGCTTTTGAAATAGAGACACTTACCATTGGATTGTTTAAGTGCATTCAAGTTAGATAAAATTGTTAGAGTGGGAGATAAAAACTAGGGTTGGTCGTGTTACCTATAACATACATTTTTTGTACCTGATAACAACAGATTCAATGAGAATATTTTATCAAGGGTTGTAGCAATACAATCTTTTAATTAGTTTCAAGACCCTGTTTATAGGTTCAACACAAGTTGTTTCAAAACCAAAAGTCCAACCTGCAACTAACAGTCGGCACACAAGGGTGGAGTTCAAACACTGAAGGCCTAACAGCCAAAGGAGGCTGGTCGAATTTAAAATCTTACCGATTGTCCAATATCAATCAGGTATGCAAACAGAGCAATCAAGTGTTTATGTTGAATGTCATTCTCCACCAGGACAGTCCAGAAACCTGAAATGGTCAGGAATAACATACTTACGTTGATACAAGTATAACTAAATCATATCATCTGGTCAGTAGGGCAAAATTGATCCTAATTAAAACATGTGATTAAATAAAGAAAAACATGATATCTATGTCAAATTTTTCTCTTCATTTTCAAAAATTAAAAATCAAAAGTTATCCAACCTATATTTATCACTATTAATGGCCCGGTAGAGGGTCAATCATTTGAGACAATGATTGGTCTTCATAAGGTGTCATGAGATATATCTATTTACTTTGAAATAAAGAATGTAACAAGAAAAAAAATCTCTCTTAATTAAATGTGTTGTCAAAAAACTGCCAAACTGAATCAGAGAACCAGATCATATGGATTAGAGATTCCATTAATTCCAGTCTCTTGTAATCGCCTATTGTATGGTTATTGACACAACTGTTGGACTGCAGCATTCAACATGGAAATTTAACACACATAATCCTTCTGATACAGAAAAGTATGTTTTTGAAAAATATTGCAATACAATTATATTTCAGTTTTGTATTGCAGTGCACTTTTCCTGTATTATGTAATATATTGGATTTCTCATATAATGTGACTGTGTCCTTGCCTTCACCCTGTTCTCCTTCCTTGTGTGTGACCCAGTCCACCAGACTTTCCTGCAACAGACGTAGTGACTGGCAATGGTATTCATTCTCTTGAAAGTCGTTCTGTAGGTCAATGTCTATAGGATCAATCTCTGTGAAATCACTGTCCCATACAGACTTCACCCAGTCTGAAAATTAAAAAGGTAAATGTGGAATTATTTAATTGAATACATAATAAAATTAATAAACACCATAATTTAAAATAAATTTCTTCTTGTAATAAGCTTTTAGCACCAAATTTTAGTTTTCTAAATGTATATTATACAATTTACTTTTTGTCATTTTATTCTAAATATCAGAGACAGCAAATATTTTAAAATATCATTTGTTTTATCCATTTGCTTGAGAGGTAATGTTGAAGTTCCAGTGCATATTTTCAAGTCAGAGGATGTTTCCAATCTGTTCTATTAATCTTCGGTATCGACGGAGGAAGTCAATAAATTGAAGATGATGAACCAGAGAGTCAAGTGAATTTTTGCTAGCACTTACATTTATTTCCCTGATTATTGGGATTGTGTTCTAAACTATGTTATGAGTAAAACAGTGGTATGTACTGTCAATGTAACAAGAAACTATTCACGTTTTGTGAATTCTTTTTTGTGCTGTGTATTTGAATGCACAGTTACTTAGTGTCATCTGTCGATACACCTGTATAAATATATTATGGGTGTATTGAAAGACGAGTTCAGTACAAAAATATTTACAAAAAGACACCATTTTTGCAACTATTGCTACACATTATTTGATGTGTTGTCATAAAAGAGTGTCTATTTAAAACGGGACTTTTTTGTTCTGTTATGTGGGCTGTAGTATGTAATCAGGGGCGATCCCTAACCTGTCTGTAAGACGCTTTTAGTTTATATTGTTTGTTTGTAGTGCTGTCTTGAAGCTTTTAAGTTTTGCATTTTGACGAGGTCTTCTGGTAGATTATTCCACTCTGTTGTTGTTCGAGGAAAAAAGATTTTTAATATGTCCGTATTACACTGGAAATGTCGGTAGTTTTCACTATTTTTTGATCTGGTACGGGTGTTTGATGGAGTCAATATGTGATCTACAGGTATGGCCACTAGCCCCTTCACGATCTTATAAAAGAGGGCAAGCCGATGGTCTCTCCTGCGATCCTTTAGTGGTGCTAGTTTTAGAGTGCCCATTATTTCTGTTACACTGCTGTCCCTTCTATAGTTTAATATTTATGTTGTTGTACATCTGCTTGTCTAAAAAACAACTTGTCAAACCGAACATTTCCCTTCAGGTAACACTACGACGTACGTGCGATGTATAGTTCACGGCTAGTATCAGTTTCCATTCAAAATCAAATGCCGAAACAGCTGATTCCGTTTTTAACTAGGCCAGTTGTAATTTGTATTCTATATGCGTAAAGGGTTGTAATTATTTTGTTTGGTCAATTTAATAAGACGAGTAACATTAAGTTAACATGAACTTCAAATCACATCAGTTGTCAAACCTTCTTGCAAACGCTGAAGTTCAAATTTATCCAGCACTTCGACTGTCTTGATTACATCCGCCATTTTCAAGTTAGCCGCCAAATACTATCGACTTCCGGTTTAAAATGTATACGAAATTGCATAAAGAAACGAAACGAAACAATCTATACTTACGTCATTAAGCTACTGTATAGGAACTTGTACGCCTCTTATTAGAATTTAGACACAAACGTCGTGTTTATTGCCCGCATTGTAAGCTTAATTATGTTATAAAAAATGTTATATAATTCATAGATATTTTTCAAAATCTTTTAAAAAAAAAAAAAAAAAAAAGTCTTTATGAACAGATGTAGTTATCATACGTCTGTGATTCAAAATCTGTTTTAGTTAATATCCAAGTTTGAATTTCTTAAGAGCTTCTAAAAGGATACTTTGAAATTTTAATGTTTCAGCTTGCAATATTGTTTTAACATAAATTATATAGATATAATAGTTGGCAAAATTAATTGTATCATAATTATTTATTTATTTCACTTTCGCAAAACAAGCCTCTTTAAGAGATTATCTTTAATTTTTGGCAAATTTAAAAACCTTGCATTGCTGCAATAAGTGAACATAAATGTTAGTTTTGTCCCAGCCTAATTCTGAACAGGATTGTAAAAATAAATCGTAACCTATGACGCCCGGAACACTGTCGATATTTCAACAGACCCCTCCACCTATAACGCCAATGGGTTGCTAGACAAAATATGGCGTTGATTTAACATCTTTTCATTGCAAAAGAATATTGATAGGGCTCAAGCTTTCTCAACTCATCTATATCCTCTCCAAATTACATGAAACACAAAAGATAAAGACCCTACAATATGGTACTGTTTCAGAATAAGGTAAACAGTATAGAAAGGAAAATGAAGGGAAGATCATTATATATTAGGAAGGCTACGTACATGGTTTTCATATTAACATAACACTTAAGCAAACAAGCAACAGGGCCAGATGTCCTGTATCACCCACCTAGATATTTAAACAACCACGGCAAAAATATTTAAAAAAAAAAAGGATTTCAAATATTTCCTCTTTTATTTTTTGGCCCCACCTCTCTTGTCCCAAAGAAGCTTCATAGTTGACTTGACTGATGTGCGTATACATGTATGATTATAGGATGTGGACCTCAATCGCGTGTACCAGGGACGGTGTTAGACATCAGGATGTTTATAGATAGGGATCCCGATATTTGACAAGGTATTACCCAATGACCATGTCTACAGGATCCAAGGAAATCATGGTTATAGATAGGGATCCCGATATTTGACAAGTTATTACCCAATGACTATGTCTACAGGATCCAAGGAAATCATGGTTATAGATGGGGATCCCGATATCTGACAAGATATTACCCAATGACTATGTCTACAGGATCCAAGGAAATCATGGTTATACATATACACATGATATTCATCTTTTCACGCCCATCAATTTTATATATGGTTATAGGGTGGTGATCACAACCTTTTCAATGTTATGATATGTCACAGGGACTAAGTCTCCAAGGGTGAGGTCAGACTCTGGGCCAGTCCCGATAGCAGTTCTTCTCTTCATGAAACACATAAACACATACTTTGTATATATGAGTATAGATTCCGGCCGGACCCTGGATTGTTGACGTTTCTGTATATTCCGGCCGGACCCTGTATTCAACCTGACAGCTTAAATGCATTAACCTGACAGCTTAAATGCATTAATCACTTCACGACAGGCAATATTACATAAGGTTTAAGGGTAGGGATCTTAACAATTTCCCTGCTGTGACACAGGAAATAAGTTTCACAAGGGCAAACATGATAACATGTTTTTGTTCGTCTCTTCTCCATGTTATGCTCCATGTGACCTTGAAGCTGAGGATTAAGATTCTTGAAGTCTTTTACCCGTCTCCATACGACCATGACTGTTGCAAAGGCGCTTAACCACATACAAACAAACTTGTTAAGTATTTTGTTAGGTATTTTGCCCCAAATTCAAGCCAATGTTTACTTTTAAACCGACCAGTGCCTTAAAATTGACCTTCGACGTCAGCCACATATTCCATAACAACAACAAAAATGTTTCTCACTGATAGACTACACAATACACCCAAGTATCATGGCTCTTGACTATGCTGCTCTTTACATATAGAATATTGCTATTTCTTCAATATATGAGATCCATTGTTGAATTCCTGAGTTCCGCTTAGGGGGACATCGAAGAGAAAAGAGAAAGAGAAAGAGATTTAACCACACACTAACTACACAGCAATTAATATATTCGTCATATACAATTTCAGGGGAAAACAAATCGCCAAAATAGATAGAAGCACGTGATTTCGAGTCATCAGATAATAAACCTAACTTGAAATAAATACGAAAGTTGATGACCGTATAAACGTGCATTTGGATAAATATTATTAAAAGCAAAAGGTAAACAATAATTGCCATGTTATAGGTCAGTTTAATATCAAATTGGCAACATTTCGTAAATGAAATGTCATATTTTTCAGTATGATGTAGATTTCACGGAACCAACAGCTTTAAGCTGACGTGTACTGTTGGTTTAACCAAATGAAAATGATAGTAGGATTGCACGAATACACAAACTGCAGTTCAATTTATACTGAACCCATTGCATAACAAAATGGAACTTCTAAATATACATGGGATATTTGGCAAATCTGGTCACAACACGATACCACGCAGAAGCGGTGACATGACATAGTATTAGGTCCCATCGTGTGGTCTTTGATCTAACAACGGAAAATAAGAGGCACGATGGATGGTATTGGGAAGCTAATGCGATTTCGTCCAGTTCTGTCGAAACATGGTAGGTGTCTTTACTTTTAAAGCAACATTTATCAAACATCCGATAACACTGTATATAAACTATAAGAAGCCAAACGGGTAGTATTACGGAAACCATTGAATCTAACGTGAATATGTTTATTACAGGGCCTATGTATTGCATTGCAGCTCACTCAAGCGATCAATACATGTGTATTTGTGAACTCGCGTACAATTAAGACATATAGGCCTATCTATCTAACCATTTTTAGCGATGACGAGTTCCCGATTTTATGAACGTTTCAGATTCCATGCAGATTACACGAGGGCAGATATTCAGAAATAGAAACACTTCATGGCGAATGGCCCGTTACATGTGCACAGAAATAGCTGTCTATATAAGACATATTGTCACTTAACGATCGATTCACGGTTGACTGACCAGCGATCTGTTATTATGTTTGACTGAAAGGCTTTAACATAGTTTGGGATCACACCTGCCACACATTTACACTTTACAGCATGTCGGTAGATCCGTACTAGATAGTCTGCATATATTAAAAATATGCATTGGTGCAATATCAACATGCACATATTCATGGTACTGACACTGTTTATACAATATCCTGGGGAATGGTGACCATATGAATGTCAGATGAATGGGCTTTACATATGTTTATTTTCATTCCGATAGCTTTAAAACACGTGTTTTACGAAGCAAGCTGTATATAATTGTCACAAACGTCATCCCTGAAACAGTTCATTAAATTTGTTCCAAGACCAACTCAATTCATCACTCCATGGTATCGACCAAAGCAAGATTCAATCCTTAATAATAACACACCATTTACAATAATAGCATACCCCTCAAGTTATAATTATAACATTCTCTCCTCCATTCTTAATAACAACACTCTCCTCCATTCTTAATAATAACACACTCATCCATTCTTAATAATAACATGCTCCTCCATTCTTAATAATAACACTCTCCTCCATTCTTAATAATAACACTCTCCTTCATTCACAACAAAACGCACTCCTCCATTCACAATGATAACACGCACCTTAATTCACAATAACACCCTCCTCCATTCACAATTATAAGATATACTTCCATTTACAATCAAATCCTCCATTCACGATTACTTCCATTCTTTACAATTAGACACTCCTTCATTCCATTCTTTACAATTTGACACTCCTTCATTCACAATATTACCAAACTATTTGTCCACAAGGATGACAGTGTCAGCAAAGCTGCTATAGCCAACTGTTAAAATGATGAAATAGAAAACTATTTGATTGGTTTCCGGTAAAAGTCTGACCAATCGGCAGGCTGTCACCTGTCATTTGAAGATTATACAAAGGGGTGACATCTGACTTCAAAGCCAGCCAGTCCATTTTACCGTTATGCTTCCAAGTGATTCTTTTGATATACATCACATGATCAAAGTAAGTCTACTTGTATCATCCATAAAGTGGATCGTACAGTGCTTCGTCCATTAAACTCCAGGGGTGCAGAGAGCACACGGTGCTTCGTCCATTAAACTCCTGTGGTGCAGAGAGCATACAATGCTTCGTCCATTAAACTCCAGGGGTGCAGAGAGCATACAGTCTTTCGTCCATTAAACTCCAAAGGTACAGAGAACGTACAGTCTTTCGTCCATTAAACTCCAGGGGTGCCCCTGATTTTCGATGATAAAGAATAGTTCATAATTTTATTATTTATTGTGATAACATACATCACTGACAGCGATAACATGTATTCCTCTTGACAGCTCTGAGCAGTTTCCGACATGTTCGCTGTGTCGGGACAGTGGCTGTAGCGGAGGCACGGAAAATACTTGACAAAGAACTGGACGGGATCCGAGAGGCCGGGACATGGAAGGCGGAGAGAGTCATCGTGACCAAACAAGCGCCATCAATCAGAGTCGAGGGTCAAACATCAAATATTCTCAACTTCTGTGCTAACAATTACCTTGGGTTGTCTGTAAGTTGTCTAAATTGCGAAAAATTACATATTATTGTAAATCACTATAAGAATTATTCTTGTTTCTAAGTTCCTATTCCCCTACTATGTATTTTTTATATTAAACTTCGCTCCCAAGCATGTTTAAGAAAGAGAAGACGAGGACCAATGTGGAACCTCTGCAGAAATTCTAAGTTGTGACACGACTGTACAATGTGTGCTGTTTGTAGCATAACGATCAATCTTGGGATAGATTTGAAATCACCACAGGGATCATAGATTTAACCAATTATAGTATTCTGCTTTATGTCTCTTAAAAACAATTGCACATGAAGAATACTTAAAACAAAACCATTTTGCTCTACAATGTCAGTATGAGTTACATTCTTGTCTTACAGAGTCACCCAGAAGTGATTGAGGCTGGTAAGAGAGCGCTAGACAGCCACGGATCAGGTGTTAGCTCCACACGATTTATCTGTGGCACCATCGTAAGTTCGGGACTAAAAGTTGGGGTATAAATATTCGCTGAAGTTTTGGGAAAAAATATCGCCAAAATCTAAATAAATTTGAATGAAAAAGCTAAGGATAATACTGGTTTTATCAAAGTTTAGCGGAACTGGACAGGGTCGGAGTGTCCCAGTTCGAGTCCCATGCTATTTCGACTTGCGTTTTTCCTCTCCTGTTACAGAGCAGTGACAAAGAACGAATACAAAGTGGGGAACTTTGCAAGGTCTTTTAATTGTATTTAATAGCAAAAATAATATCTCTACAGTTTTATCCGAAGAGTATAACATTATATGATAGAAAATGTGAATCAATGCAATAAACCAGTGCACAGAAATCAGAAAACTCACTTTGAAAATATGTTCTAATTTGACAGGACCTTCATATAGAATTAGAACGTAAGATAGCCCGTTTTCACGGGCGAGAAGACGCCATTTTGTATGCCAGTTGCTTTGATGCAAACGCGGGAATATTTGAGGTATTGCTTGGCCCCGATGATGCTGTGATATCGGACGAATTAAATCACGCATCTATCATTGATGGAATTCGTCTGTGTAAGGCGAGGAGGATGAGGTACAAACACAGAGACATGGGAGGTACGTAACCATAGCAGCATTGATATAATAAAAATACAAAAACACGAGTCGTATAATTTCTCTATTATTTTAAGTTGTCAGTTGTTTTTGTTTTGAAGTCATCTGACAGGTACAGTTGTGAGATTGTGGCCGATAGGTACTTATTACTTCTGACTTGACAGTTTCTTCCTTCCTGATATCTTTCTACAATTGTTTTTGTTCTGTTGTTTTTGTGTTTGATGTTTGTGTGGTATTTTTCTTCTATACGGTACCTGGTATCTTTGCACCATTATTATGTGTTGTTGTTGATTTTCTTTTCACGACATAAACATTGGGGTTGATATTTCTGAACATTTATGTCAGGTCGGTAGGTATGGATTGTAGAAAGGTTATAGTGAACATGAAGGTGACAGGGTACCTTCCGTACTAGTCATCGGAACGTCACATAGAAACTCTTATTGGTTGTCATACATAACCTTTATACAATTCACTGGCACTGTTATTCAGCCAGTAACAGCTTTAGAAATAATGTATATTTTAAGTAGTAATTGCCATATTCTACGGTGCATACCAATGTTACATATATAACAACAACTGATAGTAAAGCGTAGCCGAAATGACCAGGACATACGGATGTATGCTACACCTTAGAACAATAGAACGATTCAAAATGGTAAATTAACTTTTGCATATATTATATGATAATTGTAGAAGCGTCTCATCTCAAGACAAGTACTCCTAAAGGACCTAACATGCACGAGATGATAGACTAATATATTCAGGACTAGCAATAGAGTGTAGAGACAAACTGACTTTAGCAATCTAACATTATGTACCACGTGATATGAACCCAAACAATATAATACTCGACTCTCGGCAGGCGAAGTTATGCAGCAAAGGTGAAATGTTCTATGAAATCTCACAATTCTATCCCGCCGTCTACAGGAATCTGATAAAACATCTTGGTCAAGAGGCTGACGCATGCACGCTTCACTATGCGGCCTATCATTTATTAGATAAAATAAACTCAGCAATTTACTGACTTATAGATTTGTTTAGTTTTCAAATGTTGGAGTTATACAAACTACATTTGCATTTCCAGACCTGGAAGCACAGCTCCAGGACGCGAGCTCCAGTCGGATGAAGCTGGTGGTGACGGACGGTGTGTTCAGCATGGACGGGAACGTAACTCCTTTACCGTAGGTCAATTCACCTTGGAGGGCGATACTCATGAGCCAGTATACTTCATAGCAAATCGACATTAAAACAGTACATTTGACGTTTTCTTGAATTCTATCAAGAACGCTATAGTATAATCTGAATGTATGTAATAAAACCTTAAATAATACCCCTCGTATTGTTTGTTTGGTTTTCTCACTTTCCATCAGTGTATTTTAAGACAATGTATTTCAAGACACCATTTTCCTTTATTCTTAAAAATTCATTAAAACGTTTTCCTCAATAAAACGTCACAACCATTTATAGCGCCAACATTTCCTTTCGTTAATGCAAAGGTGACTTTATTCCCTTTTTTATCTTCATGAAATCCACCCACACTTAATCTAATAATTTTCCAATTTAGTTTTAATCCCACAAGATCATTTTCCCCGGTTTGATTGGCTGTTGCAGTCCTGCATTATAAAGAATAACAACTACATTAATAAGCGGTTTAACGTGTGATACAAAATACAACATATTTGCGACAAATCCCGTGTATGTCAGAAATTAGTTTGTACAGGTACAATTCGTCAGGGTTTGATGATATTTAGTGGATGCCATTTCACACGGTATTTCCTCTGTGAAGGGTGAAATAGATACTAGGCGAATGTGAAATTTAGCGTTCAAGGAGAATCAAAGACTAATTCATTTTTCTTCATCCTGTCGTCTGGTGTTCTTTACTTTCGAGAGGTAGGTTAAACATAGCGACATAAACTATCATCCTCTTTCTTTTGTTGTTTCAGGGAAATCTGTGAGTTAGCAAACAAATATGATGCAATGGTATTTATAGACGAGTGCCACGGTACAGGGCTTTTTGGACCGACCGGAAGGTAAGTTTACAACCATACGAGTCTAGACGTAGCACACGTTATTTTCAAAACCAATCCCATATTACCTATCCACCAAATCCCGTTGTTCTTTCATCGAAATAGCTTACATCAAGAACTGCTTTTAAAGAGAACGTTATAAAATCAAATTCTTGGTTAGCATGGAAGATAGTTCTTTGGTCAGAGCAAATGTTTATTAATTAGACAATAGCATCGTACATCAGGAACCTTTGTAACGGGAATATGGTTCTAATATCAGATTTTTAAAATTAATTTTACAGTGTAGTTAGAGAGTATGCTTTTGAAAGGGAATTCCTAAATTCAAATTCTTGATTCTACTCAATCAAAGACATGAATCAGTGATGATGACCCACATTGGTATTCACGGCTATATATGGTCATATTGGTTTCAACAGGGGGACAGAAGAATTTTTCGGAATAGAAGGATGTGCGGATATCATCAATTCCACACTTGGAAAAGCTTTAGGAGGAGCAGCCGGTAAGATTTCTTATCGCTAGTAATAATAATTGAATGTTTAATTATTTTTATTTTTTTAAATGAAAGAGTTTGGTAAAATTGGTGAAAGGTTTGTTTCATTATGTGAGGTAAATGAAGACTGAGTGCCAAGAGAGAGAGACGCCACTGAAAAGAAATAATAGTCAGGAGAGAAAAGGCAAAGATATAAATCCCAAGTATTGATACGGGGGCAGCATATCAGCTTTGGTTACTTCTTTGTCCCCTTAGTAAAAGACACAAAAGCACAAGAAAACCTCCAATCCGACAGGGCACATGTCTCAGTTTACATAATATTCGTGGAATTGATGACATTACGAATAAAAGATCACAATTAATTTATTAAAATGTTGCCGTCTTGCATAAAACTAACATCATTCATCACATGTCTTTTAAAATCATTAAAAAGTAAAGCTATTTCTCATATGGAGACCAACAATTAATTAGGAGACTGTACAATTTTGTATTATTTGTATTCCGATTTTCCTCTTGCTATGATGTTAACATGTATATAATAAACAGCTTGATACATGTGAATCATTATGTAAACGTTTTTATATTTTGCATGGTATTTTTACCTGAACAACTGTTTGTAAGCCATTTCCTTATTTGTCTGCAGGAGGGTACACGGCTGGACCTCAGCAACTGGTCACTTTACTACGACAGAGGTCAAGACCATATCTATTTTCTAACGCTCTTCCACCAGCAGTCGTGGCGTGTGCGAGTAAGGTAAGCAAAGAGTGAAATAGAAAGAAAACAATTACGTGATCACTTTGAAGCAAAATAGAGCAAAAATACCACGTCTCAATACACAAGATCTGAACTGGTACAAAAGGTTACCACCATTAACAACAAGGAGATTATATCGCTATGTTACGAAGTCCTGATTTTAAGTTTGAATAGACGAAATTAGGACAAAACATGGACAAAGAAAATATTTGCATGGATAACCCTGCAAAACGAATATCAGAAGGTGTTTCGAAGGGGTAAACGTCTTCGGTTTAATTGACGACAGCCTCAATGAAAATGTAGGTCAAATCCAATTATAATCATACCTCATTTTTAGCTCACCTGGCCTGTAGCTGTATTTTAGTCCACTTTTAAGATTACAAGTGTGAGATTAATACCAGGTGAGCGATTCAGGCCCATTGGGCCTCTTGTTATAACAACGTATCTGATTGGAATATATTGGTCACATGACGGGGAAATAAAACATCGTATAGCCCTGATGCGCTTGAATTTCTGCGGTCACATCATTTAGTCCGAGCATCTCTAGAAACAGGAGTGTTGCCCTCATTTCATCTATTTAAACTTACAACCAGGGCTTTGTTAATGGTGGTGACCTTTTGTATCATTTAGGGTATTCAGATCTGGTACTTTCGAATGTATGAAGCTTACAATAACAATACACAGGTAGTACCGACGCCTGATAATATTCACTATTGTATAAATGCTCTGTGTCCATATAACAAAATGTTTGTTATTTTTGGAAACGCGATTCATTGTTTACCTGAGATTAATCATGTTTCCCTTTTCCACAGGAGCAATAAATGTAATACATCACACCCATATAATCTGCATTTTATAATCTCATTGAGGAGATATGTCCATGATGATGACATACTTATCATATAATTCATTTGTTTTAAATTGTACTGTACAGAGCTGACAGCAGTGGATTTTCCAGTCCTATAGTCAGAATAAAATCTTTGTATCTGTGTATAGAGTAATATATTTGCACTTTCCTGTACACTTATAAAAACCTGATCGAATGTATAATGTGCCTAACGTTTAGGCCCTTGACCTAATTGTCGCTGACGACAACCTCACCAAGAAGGTCCAATCGAACACCAAACGATTCCGAACTAGGATGGAGGACGCTGGCTTCACAGTCGGGGTAAGTACAGCGCTGTCATCAAAGTCCTCCAGACCTCGGATACTATCCTGGTATTGATTTCCGCCCGATTAATGTTTTTTAATTCATGTAAATTTTCCAATAAGCTGTTGATTTTTTTCCTTATCTCATCAGACACTGATTTGTTGTGCACAGGTGTAATCTTGTAGATGAAATTATTCTTAAAAGTTATTAGATATAAGCATCTTCCATTAGATGTATTTCTTAATAATTTGGACTAAATAATTTGGACTAAATAATAATTTGGACTAAATAATTTGGACTTTGGACCCGAGAGTCGTTTCATTGTTTTGGTCTTGATGACCTCCGACGAGTCCTACCTAGACGAAATGTCTACCTGATTTAGTAACCTAATATTGTTGGATTGTTCTCAGTTCCCCCACTTTTTTAAATAACATGGGGAGAAGAATGTTTATAGTCTGTTTCTGAGTAGTATTTGCACTATCTACATGTATTTACTTGTGTTTTTACCTGTGGTTAACCCTTCTATCTAAGTTGGAAGCTGATCATATCTAATTTAATAATACATCATATACGATTTTCAGATATTTAATAACAAATATTAAAATCTATTATATTTTAATATTAATTATATATACATACATATATATATATACTGATTATATCCATTCTATAGTCCGTGTGCTGTTTCTATGATATATGATAAGATGAAATGTGTTGGGTTTTTTTGTAATAATTTTGTACTTTAACAATATTGTTAAAATGATAATTTAATAGTTATACAATGAAACTTTTCCTCATTATTGTAACATTTAATACGATTCCAAAATACCTAGTAAGAACGGTTATGTGTGACTAAGAGTGTGGTGTTTAACAGTTGATAATTAAACTTAAAAAAAAGAAATTCATCTATATTCCTAGATGTTAAAAGTATATTATAACTGTCGTAAAAATTATTTAATATCGATTATCATCCAAGCTATCATTTCCAACCTTTTGAGCTAGTAGAGAGATATGATGAGTTTAACCATTACCTAAGCACAACTTGAGAACCGGACGGTGAACTTTATGGAGTACGCGAACGAAGCATCACATCTCGAAATTGTGTGACACTTTACTCGGACTGCAGTGTATATTTGCGATAATGACAGTTCTTTTTCTCTTGCTTAGCCTATTTTTTATTATGATGCAGCAATCCCACATATTTTGTATCTCGGCATCATTTGTTTGTGTTTAAATAAAATAAAAAATACTAATGCCTATTGGAGGGTAAAGCAATTCATAAATTTCATTTAAAATGATGTCTAACCTACAAAGCGTAGCTGTACTGTACACGTGTACAGAAATTTGATGACGTGATTTCATAGAAGATAAATCAATAGGAATGTTATTAAAATATGTTCCTTTGATTTGAAAAATATTTCATTACTTATTCAAGGAAAATGATCACATGCCCAAATGTTAAACAAATAAATCTGAACGTGGATTCGAACTTGCACCGTTCACTTCTTCTGGTAAAAAGTAAACTCGTTACACAATCGGCTACATCGGACATATACTAAATTGGAAATACAATATCTGTTTCAACCCAAGAAACACCTGTCACAGTTTTGAGAAACTTGATCAACCATGTTTTTCATTATTTTGAGCACTTTCCCAAACAGCCAAAGGAGGACCACTTTCCCGTCATACCATTTATTTTTGCATATTACATCACGGAGTCTGGGAAACCGCATCACTTTCATAGATTAAGTGAATATGGCTTTATTTACAGTATTATATTAACAATACCTAATCTCTCAGCAGTTCAAAAATGCATATTCAATTGGTTTGATATCTATTCCATGCATTTTTGCTACTAGAAAGTATTTACTGCTTAATTATTTCCCGTATTCATAAATGACGACTTATTAAGGAAATATGGTCAGTTTTCCGCCATAGCTCTTTAAGTATATATTTGTACTTGTCTTGTATTAGCTAGGTGGCTTAAAAAGTGAAATGTAAATTAAATGTAATGTATACTAAGTGAGTATTGATATATTTGACAGTAAACTCTTACTACATGTATTAAGTTATTGTTATATCTGTATCATGTATGTAATGATTGTATCTTGTGTATACACATAAATGGATTTTAAATTATTAACCTTAAATTTGATAAACAGACAATTAAGTGTTTGCCATTTTATTTTATCAGTTTCATACCCCCGAAATTTTTCAAAACTTATGAAATATATATCCAAAAAATACAAAGCATATCAAAGCTACAAGCCAGGCAGGTAACCTTTTGGGGTAAGTATGAAACAGACTATAACTGGTTTGCCATTGTTTTCCTATATCAACCCTTTTCTTTGTTCCCTAAACAGTAGGGGAACTGAGAACACCCCATATGGTGTTACGCTTACTGTGTTGACTAACCGAAGTGTTAAATACGTGCCAGCTTACTTCGTATTTCTAGTGATTATTTAACGTTTGATTATTTCCCACAGGGAGACCCAGCTCATCCTATTTGCCCTGTAATGCTTGGCGATGCCAGACTAGCAAGCAAATTCGCCGATCAGATGTTGGGTACGTATGATATCTTGAATTTAATCTGAATCCGGATCAAATGGTTGATAAAAACTATGATATATCATTAATATTTCGCGGGATTTTAGCGAACTATGAAGAACATTTTTGAGATATAACTATCCTTCTTGATGTACGATATAATGCGTAATATCTGTTTGTTTGATGATGTTGCAATATCCATTATCCATAACCATTGCCATCGCTATGTTAACGCCGATGTACGACTATGAGGATTGCACTAAGTAATATTTGGGGATTATCAATGTAAAAATTACTAATTTTTACCTGTTGTTTTTTCAGAGAGAGGAATATACGTAATTGGTTTCAGTTTCCCCGTGGTGCCTAAAGGTAAATTATTGTATAAAAATAATTTCATACTCATTTTGGGTATAGACGTTTTACTTAACGGTTTAAGTATTTTATCACTTACCCGAAATATGCATTGCTTTTAATGTATTCAGAAATCCTTCGCAAAATTGAAGATTGGTATGTAATTTTTTTTCTGAACATTATCATAAACATCTATTCTTGCCTCACTCCAACAATTTTTTGTTCATCTTAATATTTGTGTCTTACGAAAAACATTTTTATCAGCCTTTTTAAGATTCCCTCTGTCACGCTTGCTAAAGCCGTATAAATGCCGGTGACCAAGTATCTCAATTTGTTAGAATCAAGGGCGTGTAAACCAAGGGTTCATGCTCCTGTCTGGCTCGCTCCATTTTCATTCTCCCGTTTCCTTTCAAAAGTGATTTATTTAAGCCCGAGTCTGACTTTAAAATGTTTCCGCTCTATAGGTACTGTTTTTACATTGGTACAGGGATTTTTAAGACAAAAAGGGAAAGGGAACCAGTATGTCTCGTTTTTATAATATTTAATATATAGATTTGTAACATTGGTGAAACGAAAGTGGCGTTTTATGAATTACAGGGAAGGCCCGCATTCGTGTCCAGCTGTCGGCTGCACATACAGAACAGGAAGTGGACAGAGCCGTAGACGCGTTCATAGAGATTGGGAGACAGTTAAACGTAATCAGTTAGTGGCCGGATCCTTCAGTTACTGGAATGTTAAATACACCTGCGAAACTATTTAAATGTGCTTGTACCATATGTAGTTTACAAATAACATACGGTACGAGAAATTGACACTGGTACAACGAAAATATACCTGAAAACAGGCTAAACGAAAAAGTATAGGAAGATGTTTCAGTTATGAACATCATTTGTTTTCAAATTTTTAATTGCATGCTTTATTTCCCCATTTACTAGGTAATTGACTTGTGTATAATTTAGATGTGTGTTATGCTGAAATGTCAGCCTCCAAAATATGGTTTTGTCCATGGAACTTATCAGCAAGAAGTATACTGATACTGTAATGTTTCCAGTTGATATTGCGCTGTAAGTAAGATATGGTATTACTGTTATAAACTCAAAGATTGATAGGTACACACGTTATTTACCGGAATCAGTTTAACAAATGCAGGTATCAGTAGAAATACCTTTGGGGTGATTATATGAAGGATCTGAGTGATATTTTTTGTGCTATTTAACTTTTTATTCAACACGTACGCGAGGTTCTGATTTTGTCAAAGAGACGTTTTCTCATAACACCGCTTACGTGGTAAATAGAATGACCTATTCGACATTTTAACAGATGGTCTGTTAGCTTTTCTTGCACAGATCGTCGGATTTGTAAATTTATTTACCAGTATAAACGTTGACGTAAGAAAACGGTTGTTTATCAACCGACTGCTAAATTTGATATTGCTCATATGAAGACTTAAAACAGAATAATATTTTATGAAATTACAGATTTTTGTGTGAAAATGGCACCATGAACATTCGCGTTTAAGTCTGGTTAAGCTGATTAGGCGTTGAACCGCTTGTCTAACAATGTAAAACGCTTTGTTTATTCATGATTTTATTAACTATAAGTACTCGCATTCCCTTTGGAAGTATTCTGACTTCCAACAAAGGACACTATATACGTTTTGCAGGAAACTGATATAAAGTTGACATCTGAGATTGTAAAGTGTGCTCACTGAATAAAAATAAATCACATAAACAGTTACCATTGTCAGTATTATGTGATGGTGTGTTTGGTCCTAAGAACACCATTAAGAATTTTAACATAATTACAGCTGTTTGAAATTTGAGTATTTGAAAACAAAAGCAAAAATAAAATAAATAATTGAATAAATATAAACAGGATCCGAAGCTTCTACATGGACCTTCATAAGGCCATTTCCCACACTTTACCAATTTTGGTATACATGAAGTATAAATGAGAAACGACAAGGAAAGTAACCAAACCAAACTATCCGTTTTGTTCATCTATCATATACATAAGGGAGCGTTCTCAAGTAGAAAACAGAGCTCTGAAATGGAACTCTTACAGCGTTTTTCACTGATATAGTGGTGTCTGTTTCCTCAGTTGCCAGTATTTGGGCGTTTGTGTAATACATCTAGTTAAGGTTCAATAGGCCCCCTTATGTTTGCTGTAGTCACCTAAAATTTCCTGATAAGTCATATTCAAAGACCTCAATTAAAAATCGGAACTAATTTATATAATTTGAATATATTGAACTTCTTCATTGGCTATTTGAAAAAGTATAGCCAGGTTAACGTAGTCGGAAATAAGGCATTAAGGTAATAGTTGATGTCGTCATAAAGATAGTTCACCTTGTTTTCCACCCAACTGAGTGCTAAGAAATGACCCATAATTTAAAGTTTATTTATAAACCTAGATCATGCGGAGCTTTATTTCTCTTCTTCTAGCTTTCGAGAGGAATTCCGACCTAAAAAAATAGATGTTGCCATGAGAAACCACTGAAATCATAGTTAAATTCCCTAGTATATATTTTAGCAGGTTATAAATAAGAAAACAAAGGCTAAGTTACCTGCATCGATAAATGAATTTTAAATAATGTACCATTTGATAAAATTCTCTTTTATGAATGCACTAGACATGTTATGAACATTGAAGCTGAAAAGTACGATAATGTTTATAACATGTCTAGCTCTTTTATAACAACAATAAATGTAAATAAAGGACACTTTGTATGAAGTTTAAGTGGTTTTTATTGTCATAGGTCTATGGTTTTACACAAATATACCAGTAAAATCTGTACTCGGATGTTTAACTATGATTTGTTGTACATTTCCATAGCAACAGTCATCTACTGTCGAGGCCGGTATGACTCTCCACACCTAGTTAAAAAGAAGTTAAGCTCCGCATGACCTAGTAATATCAACGAACTTTATATAATATGTCATTTCGTAGCATTCAGTGATGTCGCTAAAGAGATTGACATGTTATAAGTCCGGTGAGCTATTTTTATCTGCCTAAATCTTTTATTATTGACTACATTAACCTGGTTATGCCTTTTTAATAGGTTATGTACAAGTTCAATATATATTCTGATTTTTAATAAGTGTGTTTCAATAAGACTTACCATGGGGTTGATATTTAGGGTGACTATTGCATCTTTTAGGGGGCTTGTTGAACCTTAATTTGAGACTGTTTAGGATTCCATATCTACAGTAAAATCCGCTTAACTTCCGTTGGGATTTACCTGTACCACAGTTTAGCCAGTACACTTCCGTTGGGATTTACCTGTATCACAGTTTAGCCAGTACACTTCCGTTGGGATTTACCTGTACCACAGTTTAGCCAGTACACTTCCGTTGGGATTTACCTGTACCACAGTTTAGCCAGTACACTTCCGTTACCCAGGTAGCTGAATCGGTTAGAGCGATAACATAACAACCTGAAGTGGCGGCAGTGTTCGAATTCCGGTCCGGCTCCGCTAAATATTTACACTCAACACACTGTTGTTGTTCATATTTTGTTTATTTCATATTCATTATTTCTCGCAAAGTATGGTTTTCTTTTCAGAAATGATTTATCAAAGTTTTAGTCATGCCGGAACAAGTTTCCAGTATTTAGGTACAGTTTCGGCCAGTGGTAAGGGGATCCTCAGAAGAAAATATCTGGTCTCTTTACAACTCTGTATTTTCATACCTACTCTTACGATTTGATAGGGGTCCATTTAAAGGAAGATTTCGAAGCTTAATGACACATAAAGGAAAGTATGAGTCCGTGATGTTTTCATTTCTATCAAAACTATAAAAAAAAAACCCACCTATTTACTAGGAATATAAATGACCACACTTAAAAGGATAAATTTTGTTATGAACCGTGCAAATACTCAAGGGGGCAAACCTAAGAGTCTAAGGGCAAACCTAAGGGTATAAGGGCAAACCTAAGGGTCTAAGGGCAAACCTAGGGGTCTAAGGGCAAACCAAAGGGTCTAAGGGCAAACCTAAGGATATAAGGGCAAACCTAGGGGTCTAAGGGCAAACCTTAGTGTCTAAGGGCAAACCTAAGGGTCTAAGGGAAAACCTAAGTGACTAAGGGCAAACCTAAGGGTCTAAGGGCAAACCTAAGGACATAAGGGCAAACCAAAGGGTCTAAGGGCAAACCTTAGGATATAAGGGCAAACCTAAGTGTCTAAGGGCAAACCTAAGGGTCTAAGGGCAAACCTAAGGATATAAGGGCAAACCTAAGGGTCTAAGGGCAAACCTAAGGATATATGGGCAAACCTAGGGGTCTAAGGGCAAACCTAGGGGTCTAAGGGCAAACCTAAGGGTCTAAGGGCAAACCTAAGGATATAAGGGCAAACCTAAGGATATAAGGGCAAACCTAATGGTCTAACGGCAAACCTAAGGGTCTAAGGGCAAACCTAAGGATATAAGGGCAAACCTAAGGGTCTAAGGGCAAACCTAAGGATATAAGGGCAAACCTAAGTGTCTAAGGGCAAACCTAAGGGTCTAAGGGCAAACCTAGGGGTCTAAGGGCAAACCTAAGGGTCTAAGAGCAAACCTCATGGTCTAAGGACAAACCTAAGGGTCTAAGGGAAAACCTTAGGGTCTAAGAGACCGACCAGCATAATATACCACATTGTGTCTGGAAAGATTAACGTAACACATGCATGCGATTGTTTCTCATTTAGTAATAGATACCTAGATACAGTATGCCTAACTCAACTACACTGCACTATACAGCTGATAGACACATTATTATAAGGAGCCTTGCTAGCTTTTAAATGCTTACAATTAGTACGACTTTGAATAGAGGTTTTTTTCTGCATGAATAAATGAATGATTTGTCATGAGTGTTATGCCATATTGTTCTTAAGTACCTGAACCTGAATATTATATTTTGAGCTGAAAGGATTATGAAAATATCAAATTATACTTGATTGTGAACAAAACATGTTCTTAACGTGAAAATGCTTGAAATAGCCTTGTCTGGACTTCTGATCTATGTAATAAATGCTAACAGCTGTATACACGGAACACAGCCTAAGTATTGCAAGGGGAAATAATGTGCGGCGACAATTTCAGATCATAAAGCTGGAAAAAAAATTCCTTTATAATGCTGAATGATTGCCATATACAATCTGTGTACACACATGTGTGCGCTTTGAAGAAATACCAGTGGTTTTAAATACAAGGTAATCTGAAGTTACTAGCCGTGACGTATGTTAACGTCTACTGTGTAGGAGGCACTGACTCGTGTGAAGTTTTACCTGTGTTGGATATTGATCGATCATAATTCAACTTACCTTTAACCCGGAACACGTCGAGGCCTGACAACCTGTATATAAACAATAATGGCGGACAAGTATGGACCGATTACAGGTTGTGAAGGGAATGGAAACATTCTACTATGTACTGTAGTATTAAGACCACTTCAATGTGCTGTTCAGTTGGCAATGTGTTATTTATGACTAAGATATGTTTCCGGTTAATCAGGATGGCTGTGATATAAAGGCGCTTACTAGTAAATATGTGATATACACAGACAGTATAGTACAATTGTAAAGACATGGGTGCTTCGGCTAACAGTACTCGGCGACAACGTCATCTACCTGACAGTGGCCCGGGTATGACTACCAGCGCGTGTGTGCCGTTCTTGACGTCACCACCTGATGGACTCGCGAGTCACACCGGCGACTACTCCTGCTGTGTGTCCTACAACCTCCAGCCCCATACTACCGACAACCGGCATATCCATGCGCAAGTCCAACGGTTTGGGAGAGTGTCGTCCCTGTGTGTTAATGACATCACTCACGACAAGATAGTCAAGATTATTCTGTACGAGGATAGGGAGCTAGATATGCTACCAGCACGTCTGTTACAGAACACGGGTCTACAACTGTGTAATGTGGTCGGAATTCGGAAGGACCTTGTAGTCATTCAGGTCTTTTGTCAAGACGTCATTAAATTTTTTGTTTGTAGTCTAAATGATGCTTCGTGTAAGATCGTGTTTGATCGTAAGTACTGTTCGCAAAATAAACTGCAGCTATACGAATGTCAAATAAGCCCTGATGAAAACTATTTATTGATACTGCAAAATCAACTCTTTGCTATAATGTATGCTCCTGGAAGTGAGGTGGAACACGTGTCTATAGTACACATAAACTGGGAGAAGTGCGAATGTAAGGAAAAGTCATGTGACAGTCTTGACGAGCAGATGCAACTAGCTAGTCACCAGTCATCTGTTGTTTTTGATCCGCGGACAAACAACGACTTGGTTGTGTTCACCAGTTCGTCGTCCGACCGCGGAGTCATCAGTCTGTATAAAACCTACAAAGATAACTTCTTATTTAAAATAATTCAATTCAGAACGGACTGCCCAGCTCTTCCGGGAAAGTTTCAAAACTTGCAGTTCATGAATGACGGCTCCGCCTTAGTGCTCAGTGTTATTGGTACATCCGCACATCCGCACTCGATAGCGTCTATCTGTCGTCTACAGGTGGTGACGGCCTACTGGTTCAACCCCGACTGTTATGACAAACTAGGATCATTTTGGTACATTTCTCCTACATTGTTCATTCAGTATATGCCAATGATATCCACAAGTGGAAGATATGCATGTTGTGGTGGGAAAATATACAATTTGGAAGACATGCATCCTTACTTCCTAGGAACAAAATCTTTAAAACGTGTCTGTAGGGATGTGATAGTTGACTCAGTTTTAGCAGAGGATATCGGGAAACTTCCACTCCCGAAACCTCTTCTCCGCTACCTGTCAGAATGCGTAGCGGACATGAACCAGAATATGTAAGCTTGTCACTTTTAAAGGACATGGAGGGATAGTAACATTAGCTTCATCTGTTGCACTAATACATCATCATCGCTTACCAGGGGTGACTATATATATATCTTTCTCAGAGAGAAATGTGGTTCGTTACTGTAAAGTAAGCGAATAACAACATGATATTCTAGACTCTATTTAAGACTTCATGATAAGAATGCTCAAAATGTCATAGTAAGGCTTTGTTGAATGTATTACTTCAGTGTACATAATAATTGATAAGAGTGACTGATACAAATATTACCAACCTAGAAAGTAGACCGATCCTTATGGACCCCTGTCCTACTGCACTGTGGTTTTTCCAATATACAGTAGCCTTCCCTAAACTTCAGCTTTGAAATGACTGTAACCCTGTAGAACAGCTCATTCAGGTCACTTCCGTTGACCACCTAGGTAACTCAATCGGTTAGAGCGATAGATTAACAATCTGAAGTCCTGGGTTAGAATCCCGGGCTGGCCCCGCTGAATATTTATATACTGTTAAAGTCCATCAAGGTATGGGTTTTTTTCAGAAATAGTATATCAACCTATAGTCATAGCGGAAGAGGAAGTGTCCAATACTAAGTTACAGTTTTTAGCAGTGGTACGGGGCTCCTTAATATAATATATGTATGGAATGGTCAGTGGTACGAGGCTCCTTAATAGAGTATATGTATGGAATGGTAAGTGGTACGAGGCTCCTTAATAGAGTATATGTATGGAATGGTAAGTGGTGCGGGGCTCCTTAATAGAGTATATATATGGAATGGTAAGTGGTACGGGGATCCTTTATAGAGTATATGTATGGAATGGTCAGTGGTACGGGGATCCTTAATAGAGTATATGTATGGAATGGTAAGTGGTGCGGGGCTCCTAAATAGAGTATATGTATGGAATGGTAAGTGGTACGGGGCTCCTTAATAGAGTATATGTATGGAATGGTCAGTGGTGGTACGGGACTCCTTAATAGAGTATATATATGGAATGGTAAGTGGTACGGGGCTCCTTCATAGAATATATGTATGGAATGGTAAGTGGTACGGGGATCCTTAATAGAGTATATGTATGGAATGGTCAGTGGTACGAGGCTCCTTAATAGAGTTTATATATGGAATGGTCAGTGGTACGAGGCTCCTTAATAGAGTATATGTATGAAATGGTAAGTGGTACGGGGATCCTTAATAGAGTATATGTATGGAATGGTCAGTGGTGCGGGGATCCTTAATAGAAGATATGTATGGAATGGTAAGTGGTACGGGGATCCTTAATAGAAGATATGCGTGGTAAAGATAGGAGCAGAACGCCAACCGTGATATTGTTAAAGGTGAAATTGTATTATTCAATTAATATGGTTCAATGACTTCTAAAGCAACATGTTTGTTAAAATTATATGCACGTTATGTTTCTTGCTAGTTGTTTAAACTGTGCAATACTTAGCAAGACGTACTATTATAAAATGTCTTTCAATAACAAAAATAAACAGTATTTTAACAAAATTGATATCTTTTCTGTTCAATATAGTCCAGGTTTCAAGTTGCATGTCTTTAGCTGAATTCCACATAAAAAAAAAATACTTAAAAAACAGCCGAACATTATTCATTCAGCTGCGAATTATCAACTCATTCCACTATCCAGTTAATGTTGCTGGGGATATATTGACCTTCCTATTCAATTAATGCAATCGTTATATAGCCCAGACGCTTTTGCTTGACATTGTCGCTTGTTGTTCACTCTACCTCTGAGGTATACAGACAAGCTTATTCCAGAAACCTCTACTGGGACACAAATGTACACGTATTTAAAATCCATTACTGTAATTTCCATATGTATTGACCCGTAACAGGTACCCTGCAATAAGAGGTCATGTTATGGAAGTATATAAGGGGTTCTAGTAAATGTAATGTGTTTCTTCAGTGTCGTAATTCTCGAGGAAGGAGACTCTATTACTATCAATAACGATAAAGCATCCTCTTAGTCAGTCGCGAATTTAAGTTTTAACAGGTATGCTATTAGTAGTTTTTGCAGACACATATTCACGAATTTCCATAGACAATTACTAATAATAATGAAATTAAACCTTACCAATTGCATTTCAAGTATTCACGAATAAAACATTCATCCGTTGTTCGCGAAATAAAATACATAGGAAAATAAAGATATTTAGATAAAGAGACGTCGCCTTATGTGACCATAACCCTCCCTGTATAGGATGTTGGCACCGGTCTTGCTTTAACCACACGAGCGGTTAAAGTATAACTCTAAATAAAATAGTTTCATACTTAAACTTAACTTAATCGTTGATTTCAATGAAAAAAATGTTTGACATTGATTTGTTGCTTAAATTTAAGGAATCATTAAAATAACAATCAGCATCGATAAGTGCTTAAGTAAACACCGATGTAAACATGTAGGCTGGAAAAAGAGCGGTACCAGGTGTTGTAATGGGGGTATCAGATGATTGTTTGATTGTGCAATGTCCCGTACACTGCAGACACCGAGAAGTCGCTGATTCTACATGGGTATATATCAGTCGCATCACATGCAGGATATTTCCCCCCTTGTGGCTGTCACATTCATTAGATTATCATAAACAAGAACATATTACGACACTGAATGACTCCGTCATCTGTGGACACCCGCTACATGTGACTTTTACTTTTGCGAAATGTCAATAAGTAAACTAGTACTAGCCATCCTCGAGGGGGAATACTAATCAACAAGCAAGCAAAGAAACACATCAATGTTCAATAATCGTCCGACTAAACATTAAATGATTTCATTATATATATATAGTTGCTGCGGGCATCTTTATAATTCAATAATACTGCCGAACGATGATACATTATCCTAAGCAGGTCATTTATCTGTCGTTAATGCACAGACGGTAATACTACTATCTGTCATTCTGTTTTTTAATGAACCGTCACAAACATGCACAATTCGATATTTCGTTGGTCTCCTTAGTATAACACAAACGGGCATGTTTCATTGATGCAAAATCACAGTTCATTATCTATGAAAATAGTTTTTATCATATATTGGTTATTTCAACGATGATAGTTTTTAAACCATCCTTTATTCACCTATTCGAAAGCGCAAAATTGTAATGACCGCTAATGGAATATTTCCCGCAATTATAGATAATTGTAAAGCTAAATCGTTTTACTTGTAACTTCACTGCAGTAGTATAAGAATTTTACAGTATTGAGTGGGTAATTAATTCCACTGTTGCAGTAAACATGAGTCCGCATTTGCCTGTATTACTCACTTGTTACTCATCCGATAAATATGACCTCCAGAGAGGGAGCAGGTTAAAATTATTTAAATGGAATTAAGTATGTTAAAGTCTACACATTATTGGTCTTTATTTGAAGATTTTATTGCCTAGTATATTACACTTTATCGATCTTATTTGGAAGACTTTAATCTTCAAAAACGGTCTAGTTCATTCACTTCATAGGCAAAATATGATAACCCCTGGCCATTTTTGAGATTTCTGACCATTGCTATTTTGAAAGTAGATAGAGATCTTTTCTTTTTTCGCAAACTTTGTCGGGCTTCACTCCAGAAAGCTACCAGTTTTATATCATTACTGTAGGACTTTCAGGAATATAGCAAAAGAAACGGAATTTTACAGACGACCGACGGACGACAGACGCCGCACCACGGCTTAAGCCCTCGGGCAAGTGAGCTAACAACAGTTAAACTTTCATCCATTGCGTTAATACTTGTATATTTCCCCTAACAGCTAGGAATTGAATAAGTTGAATGACCATTGGATAAGTAGTGATGTATTCATATGTTTAACGGTTAACCATTAGATATATGAATATTTGAACAATGTCAACAGTTGTAAAGAGCCAGGATTCCTAAACATCAAATCGTGGACTGCATGTAAATAGGTAAAACTGAGTAGAGTATGAAGCTTTGAAAATGTAATGCTTGATGAAGTTGTTGATTGGTCTCTATGAAAACACGCGAAAAAGAATCTAACTCATCTATTTTATCATTAATTATCGGTAATTAGATTAGTATCATCTCAATCTAAATATTTTATTCCTGATCTCAATATTTGAAATGTGATTGGACTCACGGAATAACAAATCCCACTGATCATGTGCTATTATGTGTCATCAAACTGGGATGTCAAAACATGTACAAAAATGTATCCTTCGTGAGTTTTGATGTTGTTAATAATTATATTGTTTATTCCTGTCGAGGACCAAAGTCTTTAGCCCTCGACAAGTAGTGTTTACTGGCTGAACCAACACAAACTCGTGATTTATCCTTTACTAAAACTGAAAAAGTATTAGCGCCTCAATTAGGTAGATTTGCGCAAAATTTGTTACCAGCAAATATGTATCCGCTTAATCGTTGAAAGTAACAACATTAAAACAATATAATTTCATTGAGTATCAACATTTATTGAACGTCGACATAGTTAAAACAAATGTAATATACGTTAAAGTCACGTGTATATTATAACATAATAGAAACAAAGAAATATTACAGAACACATATCACTCCAGTGTGATGCAGACACAGACATCACAAGTTGAGGGAAGTTTGCAGGTTCCTCACGAGAATGAGCTTAAACAATCTTATCCCGATGTTTGAGATTTCAGTCTGTATCCCACCTGAGCTTAAACAATATTAGCCCGAGGGTTGATATTTCAGTGTGTTTCCCACCTGAGCTTAAACAATCTTATCCCGATGTTTGAGATTTCAGTCTGTATCCCACCTGAGCTTAAACAATCTTAGCCCGAGGGTTGATATTTCAGTCTGTTTCCCACCTGAGCTTAAACAATATTATCCCGATGGTTGAGATTTCAGTCTGTATCACACCTGAGCTTAAACAATCTTATCCCGAGGGTTGAGAGTTCAGTTTGTATCGCACCTGAGCGACCCTGATTCTGTGCTATAAAGTAATGACGCGATGACGACGTTTTCAAAAAACACGCGTATAGGTAGGTAAAACAGGTTTATCTTGATTATTCGTTATATATATAAGTAATCGCGCCCATTTGTAAAAAAAATATACTTTTTTATATAAATACGTTAGTCTAATAAATATTTATATAAATATATATCGTTCCATTTTCAACACCTGGAGTGTACAGTGTAGCCACAATAATACGTCTAACTTCGTTCCAAGCAACTGTAGTTAGATCGTAGCACGACTTAATAACTGGGAAAATCACTTCTAGGAAATGGTTAATCCGTATCCTAAAGCTATGGACAGGGCGACAATTGTGTAAGTGATGGCTTGATGAACGATATCCACTTGTGAATGCTAACCGACTATTGCAAGCAACTATTTTGAAAAGATTTCCACTTCTCTTTTCAGAAGAGTTCGTTCCACATTTGGTAAGTTTACATCTTTAAGATAATCAGTATTGTGTACTAAGCGAGGTGAGACTGTAATGGGACGAACGATATGCTAGTTCTGATAACAGTAATGTGTTTGTATGCTTATTCCCTATCTCAATCCTGATTGTTATCCTGCTTTATCAGGCCATGTATCTCGGCATTGCTGTAGGTTCTAATTTTGTCATCACCTGGCATAACTGTGTCGACAACCATAGCCCTACCCACGTAGGACGTAGGCACAGATCCCACTGTGGGGAAGAGGTAAGCCCAGGGTTTAAAACAGGCTCGCGCAAAAGTTTCTCCTAGGCGGCTTTCTGACCGATCACATAGCAGCATCCTGAAACAATAGAAAAACAAACGTGTAAATCAGACAGTTGCAACAATACCATGGATGAAAAAATGAGCATGTAACACACACGATATGATCAACAAAGAAGTAACGCATGCATAACAAACACAATGACTAACAACGGGAAGATGAGGCAAGCACAATTGTACTACATCAAATATAACTGATAACGGCAAGTTGAAGCGTGTACCACATAAAAAATAACTGAAAACGGGAAGATGACGCGTGTATCACATACAATATATCTGACAACGGGAAGGTGACACTTGTGTCACATACAATTTATCTGACAACGGGAAGGTGAGACTTGTGCCACATACAATATAACTGACAACAGGAAGGGGACGCTTGAACCACACACAATAGAACTAACAACGGGAAGATGACGCTTGTACCACAAACAATATAATTATTTACGGGAAGATGCAATATACAATATAACTGACAACGGGGAGATGACGCTTGTGCCACATACAATTTATCTACAACGGGAAGATGACGCTTGTTCCACATACAATATATCTGACAGCGGGAAGGTGACGCGTGTATCTCATACAATATAACTGACAACGGGGAGATGACGCTTGTGCCACATACAATTTATCTACAACGGGAAGATGACGCTTGTACCACAAACAATATAATTATTTACGGGAAGATGCAATATACAATATAACTGACAACGGGGAGATGACGCTTGTGCCACATACAAGATATCTGACAACGGGAAGGTGAAGCCTGTACCACATACAATTTAACTGACAACGGGAAGGTGACGCTTGTACCACACACAATATAACTGACAACGGGAAGATGACGCTTGTGCCACATACAATTTATCTGCTGACAACGGGAAGGTGACGCATGTATCACATACAATATAACTGAAAACAGGAAGGTGACGCTTGAACCACCCAAAATATAACTAACAACGGGAAGATGACGCATGTACAACATACCATATAACTGACAACGGGAAGATGACGCGTGTACCAAATACAATATAACTGATAACGGGAAGTTGACGCGGGTACCATATACAAAATAACTGAAAACGGCAAGGTGAAGCATAAAATATATCTGACAACGGGAAGGTGAAGCTTGTACCACATACAATATATCTAACAACGGGAAGGTGACACTTGTGTCACATACAATTTATCTGACAACGGGAAGGTGAAGCTTGTACCACATACAATTTAACTGACAACGGGAAGATGATGCATGTGCAACATACAACATATCTGACAACGGGAAGGTGAAGCTTGTACCACATACAATTTACAATATAACTAACAACGGGAAGGTGACGCGTGTACCACATACAATATAACTGAAAACGTCAAGGTGACACGTGTACCATATACCATATAACTGACAACGGGAAGATGACGCGTGTACAACATACCATATAACTGACAACGGGAAGATGAAACGTGTACAACATACAATATAACTGACAACGGGAAGATGACGCTTGTGCCACATACAATTTATCTGACAACGGGAAGGTGACGCTTGTACCACACACAATATAACTGACAACGGGAAGATGAAACGTGTACAACATACAATATAACTGACAACGGGAAGATGACGCTTGTGCCACATACAATTTATCTGACAACGGGAAGATGACGCTTGTGCAATATACAATATAACTGACAACGGGAAGGTGACGCTTGTACCACATACAATATAACTGACAACGGCAAGATGACGCGTGTACCACATACAATATAAATGACAACGGGAAGGTGACGATTGTACGACATACAATATAACTGACAACGGGAAGGTGACGCATGCACCACATACAATATATAACTGACAACGGGAAGATGACGCGTGTACAACATACCATATAACTGACAACGGGAAGATGACGCTTGTGCCACATACAATATATCTGACAACGGGAAGGTGACGCTTGTACCACATACAATATATCTGACAACGGCAAGATGACGCTTGTACCACATACAATATAAATGACAACGGGAAGGTGACGATTGTACAACATACAATATAACTGATAACGGCAAGGTGGAGCTTGTACCACACACAATATAACTGACAACGGGAAGATGACGCGTGTACCACAAACAATATAATAATTTACGGGAAGGTGACGCGTGTACCGCATACAATATAACTAACAACGGGAAGGTGACGCGTACACCACATACAAAATAATTGAAAACGTCAAGGTGAAACGTGTACCATATACCATATAACTGACAACGGGAAGATGATGCGTGTGCAACATACAACATATCTGACAACGGGAAGGTGAAGCTTGTACCACATACAATTTAACTGACAACGGGAAGGTGACGCTTGTACCACATACAATATAACTGATAACAGGAAGGTGACGCTTGTACCACACACAATATAACTAACAACGGGAAGATGACGCGGGTACCACAAACAATATAATAATGTACGGGAAGGTGACGCGTGTACCGCATACAATATAACTAACAACGGGAAGGTGACGCCTGTACCACAAACAAAATAACTGAAAACGTCAAGGTGAAACGTGTACCATATACCATATAACTGACAACGGGAAGATGACTCTTGTGCCACATACAATATATCTGACAACGGGAAGGTGAAGCTTGTACCACATACAATATATCTAACAACGGGAAGGTGACGCTTGTACCACATACAATATAACTGACAACTGGAAGATGAAACGTGTACAACATACAATATAACTGACAACGGGAAGATGACGCTTGTGCCACATACAATTTATCTGACAACGGGAAGGTAAAGCGTGTACCACACACAATATAACTAACAACGGGAAGATGACGCTTGTACCAAATACAATATAACTGATAACGGGAAGGTGACGCGTGTACCATATACAAAATAACTGAAAACGGCAAGGTGACGCGTGTACCACATACAATATAACTGACAACGGCAAGGGGACTCGTGTACCAAATACAATATAACTGATAACGGTAAGGTGACGCGTGAACCAAATACAATATAACTAACAACGGGAAGATAACGCGTGTACCACAAACAATATAACTGATAACGGGAAGGTGACGCGTGTACCATATACAAAATAACTGAAAACGGCAAGGTGACGCGTGTACCACATACAATATAACTGACAACGGGAAGATGACGCTTGTGCCATATACAATATAACTGATAACGGGAAGGTGACGCGGGTACCATATACAAAATAACTGAAAACGGCAAGGTGACGCGTGTACCACATACAATATAACTGACAACGGGAAGGTGACGCGTGTACCACATACAAAAAAACTGACAACGGCAAGGTGACGCGTGTACCACGTACAAAATAACTGAAAACGGGAAGATGACGCTTGTGCCACATACAATATATCTGACAACGGGAAGGTGAAGCTTGTACCACATACAATATATCTGACAACGGGAAGGTGACACTTGTACCACATACAATATAACTGACAACGGGAAGATGAAACGTGTACAACATACCATATAACTGACAACGGGAAGATGGCGCTTGTGCCACATACAAGTTATCTGACAACGGGAAGGTGAAGCGTGTACCATATACCATATAACTGACAACGGGAAGGTGACGCGTGTACCACATACCATATATCTGACAACGGCAAGGTGACGCTTGTACCACACACAATATAACTGACAACGGGAAGATGACGCGTGTACCACATACAATATAAATGACAACGGGAAGGTGACGCTTGTACAACATACAATATAACTGAAAACGGCAAGGTGACGCTTGTACCACACACAATATAACTGACAACAGGAAGATGACGCGTGTACCACAAACAATATAATAATTTACGGGAAGGTGACGCGTGTACCGCATACAATATAACTAACAACGGGAAGGTGATGCGTGTACCACATACAAAATAACTGAAAACGTCAAGGTGAAACGTGTACCATATACCATATAACTAACAGCGGGAAGGTGACGCGTGTCCCAAATGCAATATAACTGACAACGGGAAGGTGACGCGTGTACCGCATACAAAATAACTCATAACGGAAAGATGACGCCTGTACCACATACCATATAACTGACAACGGCAAGGTGACGCGTTTACCATATACCATATAACTGAACACGGCAAGGTGACGCGTGTTCCACTTACAAAATAACTGAAAACGGCAAGGTAAAGCGTGTACCATATACCATATAACTGACAACGGAAAGGTAACGCGTGTACCACATACAATTTAACTGACAACGGGAAGATGACGTGTGTACAACATACAATATAACTGACAACGGGAAGGTGACGCATGTACCACATACGATATAACTGACAACGGCAAGATGACGTGTGTACCACATACAATATAACTGACAACAGCAAGATGACGCGTGTACCACATACAATATAAATGACAAGGGGAAGGTGACGCTTGTTCCACATACAATATAACTGATAACGGGAAGATGACGCGTGAACCACAAGCAATATAATTATTTACGGGAAGGTAACGCGTGTATCGCATACAATATAACTAACACCGGGAAGATGACGCGTGTACCACATACAAAATTAATGACAACGGCAAGGTGACGCGTTTACCACATACAAAATAACTGAAACGGCAAATGAAAACGTGTACCATATACCATATAACTGACAACGGGAAGGTGACTCGTGTACCACATACAAAATAACTGACAACGGGAAGGTGACTCGTGTACCACATACAATATAACTGCCCACGGGAAGGTGACGCGTGTACCACATACAATATAACTGACAACGGGAAGGTGACACGTGTACCACATACAAAATAACTGACAACGGCAAGTTGACGCGTGTACCACATACAATATAACTGCCAACGGGAAGGTGACGCGTGTACCACATACAAAATAACTGACAACGGAAAGGTGACGCGTGTACCACATACCATATAACTGACAACGGGAAGATGACGCTTATGCCACATACAATATATCTTACAACGGGAAGGTGACGCTTGTACCACATACAATATAAATGACAACGGGAAGGTGACGCTTGTACCACATTCAATATAAATGACAACGCGAAGGTGACGCGTGTACCACCATATACCATATAACTGACACCGGGAAGATGACGCTTATACCACATACAATATATCTTACAACAGGAAGGTGACGCTTGTACAAAAAAACATATAACTGACAACGGTACCACATACAATATAACGATAACGCGTGTACCACAAACAATATAATAATTTACGGGAAGGTGACGCGTGTATCGCATACAATATAACTGACAACGGGAAGGTGACGCGTGTACCACATACAAAATAACTAATAACGGGAAGATAACGCCTGTACCACATACCATATAACTGACAACGGCAAGATGACGTGTGTTACAACATACAAGTTATCTGACAACGGGAAGGTGACGCGTGTACCACGTACAATATAACTAACAACGGGAAGGTGACGCGTGTACCACATACAATATAAATGACAACGGGAAGGTGACGTTTGTACCACAAGCAATCGAATTATTTACGGGAAGGTGACGCGTGTATCGCATACAATATAACTAGCACCGTGAAGATGACGCGTGTACCACATACAAAATAAATGACAACGGCAAGGTGACGCGTGTACCACATACAAAATAACTGAAACGGCAAATGAAAACGTGTACCACATACAATATAACTGACAATGGGAAGGTGACGCGTGTACCAAATACAATATAATAATTTTTGGGAATATGACGCGTGTACCACAAACAATAAAATTATTATCGGGAAGGTGACGCGTGTACCACATACATTATAATTATGAACGGGAAGGTGACGTCTGTACCACATACACTATAATTATGAGCTGGAAGGTTACGCGTGTACCACATACAACATAACTGACAACGGGAAGGTGACACGTGTACCAAATACAATATAACTGAAAACGGGAAGATAACGCCTGTACCACATTCCATATATCTGACAACGGGAAGATGACGCGTGTTCCACTCACAAAATAACTGAAAACGGCAAGGTGAAGCGTTTACCATATACCATATAACTGACAACAGGAAGGTGACGCGTGTACCACATACAATATAACTGACATCGGGAATGTGACGCATGTACCACATACGATATAACTGACAACGGCAAGATGACGTGTGTACAACATACAATATATCTGACAACGGGAAGATGACGCGTGTACCACATACAATATCACTGACAACGGCAAGATGACGCGTGTACCACAAGCAATATAATTATTTACGGGAAGATGACGCGTGTACCACAAACAATATAATTATTTACGGGAAGGTGACGCGTGTGTCGCATACAATATAACTAACAACGGGAAGATGACGCGTGTACCACATACAAAATAAATGACAACGGCAAGGTGACGCGTGTACCACGTACAAAATAACTGAAACGGCAAATGAAAACGTGTACCATATACCATATAACTGACAACGGGAAGGTGACGCGTCTACCATATACAATATAACTGGCATGTACCACATACCATATAACTGACAACGGCAAGATGACGTGTGTTACAACATACAAGTTATCTGACAACGGGAAGGTGACGCGTGTATCACATACAATATAACTGACAACAGGAAGGTGACGCTTGAACCACACACAATATAACTAACAACGGGAAGATGACGCGTGTACCACATACAATATCACTGACAACGGCAAGATGACGCGTGTACCACATACAATATAAATGACAACGGGAAGGTGACGTTTGTACCACAAGCAATCGAATTATTTACGGGAAGGTGACGCGTGTGTCGCATACAATATAACTAACAACGGGAAGATGACGCGTGTACCACATACAATATCACTGACAACGGCAAGATGACGCGTGTACCACAAGCAATATAATTATTTACGGGAAGATGACGCGTGTACCACAAACAATATAATTATTTACGGGAAGGTGACGCGTGTGTCGCATACAATATAACTAACAACGGGAAGATGACGCGTGTACCACATACAAAATAAATGACAACGGCAAGGTCACGCGTGTACCACGTACAAAATAACTGAAACGGCAAACGAAAACGTGTACCATATACCATATAACTGACAACGGGAAGGTGACGCGTGTACCACGTACAATATAACTAACAACGGGAAGGTGACGCGTGTACCACGTACAATATAACTAACAACGGGAAGGTGACGCGTGTACCACATACATTATAATTATGAACGTGAAGGTGACGTCTGTACCACATACACTATAATTATGAACGGGACGGTGACGTGTGTACCACATACAATATAATTATGAACGAGAAGGTGACGCGTTTACAACATACAATATAATTATTAACGGGAAGGTGACGCGTGTACAACATACAATATAATTATTAACGGGAAGGTGACGTCTGTACCACATACACTATTATTATGAACGGGAAGGTGACGTGTGTACCACATATATAATGATTAACGGGAAGGTGACCCGTGTACAACATACAATATAATTATTAACGGGAAGGTAACGCGTGTACCACATATACAATTATTAACGGGAAGGTGACGCGTGTACCACATATACGATTATTAACGGGAAGGTGACGTCTGTACCACATACACTATTATTATGAACGGGAAGGTGACGTGTGTACCACATATATAATGATTAACGGGACGGGGACCCGTGTACAACATACACTATAATTATGAACGGGAAGGTGACGCGAGTACCACATATACAATTATTAACGGGAAGGTGACGCGTGTACCACATATACAATTATGAACGGGAAGGTGACGCGTGAACCACATACAATATAACTGATAACGGGAAGGTGACACGTGTACCGCATACAATATATGTTGTATACCCAGTTATGGCTTCTGGACACCACTATACCTTGCGCCAAGGTTGAGTTAATGGATTACCGTCTACAACGGATCACTCCAAACACAAACATGAGATCATAAATCCGCAAACACACAGTATGATAATAAAGGATCCGGAACTATCCGGAATCATTACTTATGGCGTTGGCTATTTCAAATATCTCTCAATCTTATGTAAATTCAAACATTCATGACACCCTTTATATGCTATAAGTATAATATATTGATAGTTGATATTGTATATTATATATATCATATAATATTTTCTCAACACCTGTGGCTGAAGTGAGTTCCAGGTAATGATTTTTTTTCTTACTTATCAAAGTTACCTTACAAATCAATAATGGCATTTGCCACAACGACTACTAAAAATGATTAATTTGATATATGAAGTTTGACTTGCTGGTAATTTTGAGTCTCCTAGCCTTAAAGAAAGTGTCTCTTTTAATCTTAACAGTAAACCCAATTCATAGTTTCATCAATTGTTCTGCCTATTTCCAATAATAAGGGCTGATTGTACATTAAAGGCATTTTGGGATAGGCATGCAACTTGGCATAGAAATTAGTTTTATGATGATATTTAATTTGTGAAAGTTTCATACTTATCCCAAAATGCCATTTTGTTTAATTCAAAATCACTTTTTGTTGTGTTTTGGATTAAAAGGAATTAAGCATCTCCTTGCCTAACACCCAATATTTCCTTAACCAATACTAGTCTTTTCGACTTAATCTCTCTTGGCGTATTCAAAGCATGAAATATCTGGCTTTTGGTCAGCCTAGGATGTCATACGCACCTCTGACTACTATAAACACTCTACTGAGTCTGTTTAATCTACATGCATTTTGTACCTTCATATAGACAGTAAAGGGCTTGTATTGGCAACGCCTGTGCCCAATCCTATTGTTAATTGAAACAATAAAATAACTTTGAAATGAAATACAGACTAGTATTGTAAGGAAATATTTGGTGCTAAATATACATACAGACTATTCAAATATATACGCTCTAATTCAAATGTTAAACTTACGCTGGTCTAAAGATAGATAACTTGTCAAATCCCATGCCTTTCAGACCTTCCTCTACTTCTCCCTGTGTAACAAACATATGAATTGCATGATTATTAAAAAAAAATACTATTTTATCTCAAAACGAGAGAGAGAGTTTGGTAACACCAAAACCTACAAAAAAAACACGTAATTCGGACTCAAAATCAATAAATGTAGGGCAAAAAGCGCACAAAGGTAAACTTAACATGGAGATCATTGACTAATTACAATAAAAATAAGACCATGTTTTCCGGAAGGTTAAGCATATTCTGCCTCATTTACGACGACCGCCGTGTAAATCTAGGTCAAGTCATATTAATGTCACGTCCTCTTAGCGAGAACTTGGGAACTGACAAACAAACACAATGCAAACTTATAACCATAATCCAAAAACATCTAACTTGTAATCCTGTGAAGACATAGCAAATCTCCCAATGACATCATGATGGCGATCATAAATTAAACTTGTCAATAATCTTCATCAAGCTTCTTCTTTGGAAATCCTATGTTGTATGTTTTTCCGACAGCAGCAGACAATGTCACGGAAATCATGATATTTGAAGCAAGCTTTTGAATACCGATTTAAATGCAATAAGTAAACACCATACCTTGGGGAATCAGGGATGCTACTATCGAGAAAAGGAAAGTTCACGATAGTAAAATCGAAATCGTTCTACTTATCTTACAGCTTAGGAATAGGCCGTACCTGTTGGTCATGTTGTATTTAAAAATCGAGAAAAGGTTCTGAGGTAGAAGAGTGGTCAGTATTTTTTTTCTATTTAAACACAGTATATCGTCTATATAACTGGATGTGAAATTGAAGGACATGGTTTGGTCATACTACAAGTCAACATGAACAAATTGGTTGAAAGAGAGGCGAAGTTTTTTCCCCATAGAAATACCTATAGTCTGCTGGAAAATCTTGTTCTTGAAGATTTTATTAAATATTGCATAAAAATTCAAAAGGAATTAGGCAACAGGCGCAATACCTATTCAAGCCATGTTGCAAATTCTTGTCACTAAATTCAAGAAAGGAACTCTATTTTAACGATTAATCCTCAGTTTACTTCATTTTAGTGTTTGTTATGCTTTAGAAGACATCGTGAACCCCACAAACAATTAAACATACAGTTCTCAGGCAACATCACAACATGATAACACGTGACATGATATATATCATATAAACAAAGCTTTAATGTAAACGTGATCGTGTTAGTATATATCAAAATATCAGTAATCTACAGATTGAAATATTAATATAAAATACCTGTTTTTGGAATAAAATCATTTACTAATAAAAATATCCATTACATAAACAAATATTGACTGTTTGATTGGCAGATCCATATTAATAATGTAACTTTTAAAGCTTAAATCGTAAAAACAAATATTGATTCGCATGCTTAATATTGAACAATTAGTGTGTTACCATGTCACGAAGTGACCTTTAATGATAAAGAGAGTAGCATAATTACGTTTCCTAGTATCATTATATCAGCCTACCTTCGTTTTGACGTAGAGAAACATACTGTTTTTATCCGAAGTGGAAGCCGTTACTACGCTGAAATGTTGACAGCCCGTAGATTTCGCAATCTCTGCACTTTTTAGTACATAGTCCCGGTCGACCTTGATGAACCCTTCCTGTCAGTATGGAGTGAATTATAAACATGACTTGTGCAAGAATGTAACCAGCAACAAACGTTTAAGGTAAGTGGATCGCAGAATGTGAAAAGGTTGTTTGTTTGTGAAAGTGTCATATTCAAAGTCAATCATCGGTATACTGCCAAAGTATTTCGGCTTTATAAAGGGCTGAAGTAACGTATCATGGGAGATGCATAAACAGTGACAAATAAGGAGAGATATCCTCGACACTCCAAGGGTTACGCCTACCTAGGCTCTCTGCACGCCTGGGCTATGTTATATATAGTAAATTTGAATGCACGGGGCTAGCTATTTGATTGTCGTCAGGTAAAAACTCCTGATCAATCGGTAGGCCAGTACCTGTCCTTTGAAGATTACAAAGGAGCGACACTCGACTTCAAAGACAGCCAATTTTACCGTTACGCGACCGCGAGATCCTTTTGATGTACATCAATGGATAAGACTGTCTTCTTGTCCCGTCCACAAGATGGCGCTCACTGAGCCTTCGATTTTGTTATGATATTTTTCAGAATGGGGGTATCGATGATGAAGGAAAGAGTGCCTTGACAGAAGTTGACGGCGGCATTGCTTTTGTATCAAGTGCATTAAACATAAATGACCGTAGTTACTTTATAAACAATAACGTTAAATGGAAATTAAAATAGACTTGATTTATTGTTATCACCACACGTTCTTTCGAAATATTTTCACTTCAAAATTTAATCAGGATATTGTGACATGTCAGTGTCGCCCATTCGTTACAGCATGTTAAAGTTTCACAATGACCTTAAACCTCAAACAAACAAGCAAATAACTTTTACGTTACCTTTCCTGCTTTGTGTCTAGTAGTCCCCAAACAGCAGTAGCCAACTTGATTTCCTTGGAAGGCTTCTGTATATTCTTCCAGCTTGTCATAATCAACAACTTTTTGTTCCTATTAATGACAACAAGTTCAAACTTCTTGACAGGCACGTTAGGCACACACACACAGTCATTGTTTTCAGTGAGAATCTTTGCAGATTTTATGGGAAAATATTAAGTTAGGATTTTTTCAGTTCTTTCATGTCGAAACATAATGATGAAGTATAAAAAAAAACTGTTTCTAAATAAATCCTCTTTCAGATACTCAGAGTAAAAGAAACATTAAAGAATGAAGTTCGAAGGACAAATTCATTTTTGAAGCTGAGTTTCGGCAGATTTAGTTGCATAGTGCAAACAAATGGATAAGATAGCAGGCTTCACCTGGTCCGGTCTTCTGTAATTTGTTAGACAGTTAGAGTCCGATACATAGATGAGTGATGTAATAAACGCCAGTCTTATAATAAAACTAAGTATCTAAATTATTTGATATAAATATGATTTTATTTCTGAAATTTGATAACAATTGTTGTTGTTAGTATTTGTTGTTGTTTTCATCATGATATGATGTTTTTGTTTATCATATGTTGGTGATGGGGTTGTAGCAGGCCTATTTCCACCAGCCCATAAGTTTAAATAAAAGTTATCCATTTTGAATATTCCTTGTTACCGTCCACTCACGAGGTAGCACCAGCCTAAAAGCCCCTCATATCCCTCTAATGAATCAATAATCAATAGTTGTTTATTATAAATGCTTATAATCAAATTTTTAATCTTCTTATCTTTGTTAACAGTATTGTACTGTTACGTTTCCGTAATGGTACAGTGGGCCGCTAAATTTCGCTCTTTTTCTTATCAGCAGGATCAATCTGGTATTTCTTAGTTTTCTCATATGGCAAAAATTGTTAACTTTCAGTTAATACCGCACTCAGGAAGAGAAACGTGTCAAGGATAGAAAATAAGAAGGATTTAATTTTCATTTTCTTACGTGCCGTGAAGAATTTGATATTTTACGTGGTCGACCACATCCTCGATACTCATGGGTTTACGCTCACGTTCGCTCTCTGCACCCCTGGGATATGTCATAGCAAAAGTGAAGGCTCTGTTTACGCCACCTTGTTGATTAGTTCGATCCTTTGATGTACATCAAAAGAATCTCGCGATCGCGTAACGGTAAAAATTGACTGGCTTTGACTTGACTTTAAACATATTTTATTGTCCAAAATTGGTACAAAGGATAAAACAAAGACACTAGCAACAGAAATATTTTTTCATACTTTATAAAATATAGCCTAGTTCTGAGCACGTGTTTTACCCGATGTATAATTAACTTTAAAGTCGGGTGTCGCTCCTTGTCGTCAGGACAGGTATCAGCCTAGCGATTTTTCAGGTTTTCTTACCTGAAACCAATCATACAGCTGGCTTTGTGCCTTCAATTTTGCTATGACATATTCCATTGGTGCAGAGAGCGAAAGTGAGCGTAGCCCCTGGAGTACCGAGGATGTGGTCGACCAAGCAGGCAGACAAAGTCTGTGAGAAAAAAGTAAAATCTGGAAGCCGATCAATGCGCTTAAGGAAGAAAAAGATTTGTCCCCACTAAGAGTTGCGAAGCTTCTCCTTGACAGGAGAAAACTGAATCTCCCAAGTGTATATTTCCTCTGACCCAGTCGAAGATATAGTTGCTATTCGTTGGATTTGCGTATGCATTATATTGACGTAAATATGGCCTCAACCATTCTTCTGGTGAGATAAGTAGCAGTCGGAAAAAAAGGTTTCACACGCTTATGCCTTACATAAATAAAATTCATTAATTATGACTGCAGTTTTAAGCCTCCGACAGATTGCAGCACGGTTACTTTAAATAATCTGAGAGAGAAAAAAAACCCATACAAACTGACGGTCAAATGACAATTAAATATATGGATTTAAAGAACTCATTTTATTAAACTTTATCCGCAAAACTTTTTTCTGGGAAAGTTATTTGTTCAATAGGCTAAACAGTTACTTTAATACCATTTTTATAGATTGTACGAATTATTCGCATTTCTTTTTTTAATAAATCGTCACATTTTTTTAAACGGTACGTGTAAACAGTATATATCTAATTATGATCCTTCTGTGGTCATTTTATCAAATGTTTTGGTTACAGAACCCACTTGTTTCAACTTTCGGAGACAATGGTATGCATACGTACCAATAAGACTGATGAACACATATTCACTTTAGGATATTTTAAAGGAAATGTGATATTTCAATTAATGCAAATATCCTTAAGTTTATTTTCAAGTGAACTATCAAAATCACTAGAATATATTTACATTCTTGATGTTTGTTCTGTACATGAATCTACCAACTGAAAACAACTTTCATTAGACCATGAATACACTATGAATACAACGATTCTCGTGCAACCAGTCATCTGATTTTACACACAATGAAAACTTCATATTACTACGCATAGTACCGTTTCTGAGAAGAGTTAACGTAATTGAGAGAAATAATAATAAACATTACAAAAATCATAAATGGTGCACCATTGCACTTTTTTTTTAAATTTGAAATCAATTTTTATTTTATAACATTGTCATTATTATTAAATACTGACTCCCGACTCGCAATCAATTCCTCGTGGCTACGAACTTTTTAATACCCAAACGTCCGGTTGCGTGACATCAACTTGCACATTAAACCCAGAGTACTTTGTAATGACACAGGGCACTTTATTCATCAACTTAATATCTCATTTACATCTGCATGTTTTTTGATGAACAATATATTGAACGGCTGTTCATTTAACTTCAAATGAGCTACAGTATATGCCTACTACCGACGAGTATCCTGGATGGTTACTATGGTGACCAATGATTTGAAATATTGCGGGCATACACTTTTTAAAATATATAATATGCGGTGTTAAATGCAAAAAAACAAACAACATCAAGTAAGATCAAATTTCAAAAATGAAAGGACTACCAAGTGTTGGTTATTATTAGATTCTAGACATAAGTTTCCGTATTAACAAAAACAGCTGATCGGCGGAAGTTGGACAGTTGAAATTTGTGTAGGCTGGAGTTCTGACTATTCCTTTTCTATGGTTTCTGTTCGATACTAATATCAAAAGTATTAAACTTACAAAAGGTGTTGTAACTTTTTTTATTGTAGTTCATCGTAACGTAAATTTATGAATTGAATTGATTTTTTCTCTCATATACATAGCCTCAATGAATAGCAATAGCTGATCTACATATCTTCTGATGAGCGCTAACGCGCTCCACAGGATATTTAGATCAGCTACTGCTATTCATTGCCGCAATGTACATGAGAAAAACACACCTCATTAAATCCCTATATGAATGCATAATATATATACCTTTGTCTAAACCATTAATGCAACACTTTAAATCATAACAGTGATTATATATATTTGTAATTGCACGTTTTTATGGGGCTTAATGAGTCTAAGTATACTTGCAAATTCTGGTCCCGGATCGGGACTGATCTCCACTTTCCTACGCCCAATGAGGACAACTTTGCTGAATATTTTATTTTTGGACAAGGCTTTGACCAGCTCCTTCCCACACTCCCCCGTGTAGCCAATGATGAAGGCGGTCTTCCCCATCTCCTTGTATTGTTTGACCTTGTTCTGAAAATCTTCGGACATTATCCACCAACTCTAGTTAAAACATAAATTTCATTTTTCCTAAGTAAAACCGACTCAATAAAAGTTCGACATAACCGAACGTTCGAGGTGACTAAGGTAGACTGAAACTTTATACTCATATTTTAGTGGAATATGTGTTGACGATAGTTTAAGGATTAACACAGAACGACAAAAGCCAGATATAATTTTTAATAAAGTCTGTACAGGATAAATGAAGACACTCTCGAAAAACCAAAATATAAGCATGGAGAGACGAACTCAGTATAATATGGAATGTCGTAGTCAGGTATGGAGTGTCATACACAAAGTATGAAATATCATACACCAAATATGGAACGTCATACACGAAGTAAGGAACGTTATACACCAGATATTGAATGTCATACACAAAGTATGAAATGTCACACACCAGATATGGAACGTCAAACACCACGTATGGAATATCACACACCAGATATGGAACGTCATACACGAAGTAAGGAACGTTATACACCAGATATTGAATGTCATATACAAAGTATGAAATGTCACTCACCAGATATGGAACGTCAAACACCACGTATGGAATATCACACACCAGATATGGAACGTCATACACAAAGTAAGGAACGTTATACACCAGATATTGAACGTCATACACAAAGTATGAAATGTCACACACCAGATATGGAACGTCAAACACCACGTATGGAATATCAAACACCAGATATGGACCGTCATACACGAAGTAAGGAACGTTATACACCAGATATTGAATGTCATACACAAAGTATGAAATGTCATACACCAGATATTGAACGTCCTACACAAAGTATGAAATGTCACACCCCAGATATGGAACGTCAAACACCACGTATGGAATGTCACACACCAGATATGGAACGTCATATACAAAGTATGGTATGTCATACACCAGTTATGGAACGTCATACACGAAGTATGGAATGGCATACACCAGATATGGAACGTCATACACAAAGTATGGAATGTCATACACCCGATATGGAACGTCATACACAAAGTATGGAATGGCATACACCAGATATGGAACGTCATACACAAAGTATGACGTTCCATATCGGGTGTATGGAATGTCATAAACCAGATATTGAACGTCATTTAAACAATAACTGGTGTATGACATACCATACTTTGTATATGACATTCAATATCTGGTGTATGACATTTCATACTTTGTGTACGACGTTCAATATCTGGTATTTTTCATATTTACATATTTTTCTTTTTTAAGACATATTCCTACAAAACCAATTTGCCCTGCCTCAAAATACATTTCAGGCGGCCATTTTGTTTGTTTACATATTCCTACACCTGAAACAGGCAGTTGTGATTATAGTCGAGCAGTTGTATTTATAGACTATATAATTACACTTGCCCTCTAACACTGTTGTAATGGGACGGCGCGGTGGCAAATGTAAATATATACAAATTAATGAATGTCAAACAAATAGTATGGAATGTCAAACACAAAGTATGAAATGTCACACACCAGATATGGAACGTCATACACGAAGTATGAAACGTCATACACCAGCTATTGAACGTCATACGCAAAGTATGAAATGTCACACAACAGATATGGAACGTCATACAAAAAGTATGGAACGTCATACACCAGATATGGAACGTCATACACGAAGTATGGAATGTCACACACCATATATGGAACGTCATACACAAAGTATGGAATGTCGGACTAGATATGGAACGTCATACACGAAATATGGAACGTCATACACCAATATTGAACGTCATACACAAAGTATAAAATGTCACACACCAGATATGGAACGTCATACAAAAAGTATGGAACGTCATACACCAGATATTGAACGTCATACACAAAGTATGAAATGTCATACATCAGATATGGAACGTCATACACAAAGTATGGAACGTCATACACCAGATATGGAACGTCATACACGAAGTATGAAATGTCATACACCAGATATGGAACGTCATACACAAATTAATGAATGCCAAACACATAGTATGAAATGTAAAACAAAGTATGGAACGTCGAACACAAAATATATGCCATACACCAAGTATGGAAGGTCGTACACAAGGTATATGACATATTCTATTATTTTTCCATAGATGTTAGATTATTATCTACTTAAGGATTAACTTGAATATATTTTTTATGTTATGAAGCGGTTTATGATGAGAGTTCACTCCGGGTTTTTTTGTTATAGCTCCATAACATAAAAAATATATTCAAGTTAATCCTTATAATTTAATCTACTATACACGATCCCTGTGGAAATCAACTTTTATTGATGGACTCTTTTCTCTTAGAAATTATTACGCCGCTGTATCAACCAATCAAAAGCGACGTTACAAACGGCGACGTCGTTTATTATGGCCAATGAAAAGGTTTGTTACAAGCGAGATTAAATTATTAGTATGTGGTGTATGGAATGTTCTACACAGAGTCATATACTAAGTATGAAACAGAATAAAGAAAGTATTGAATGTCGTACACAAAGTATGAAATGTTACACTCAATGTTTGGATTGTCGAAACAAAGTATTAAAATTCCAGTTAAAAGTAAATAATGCCGTCAATGAATTATATGTCATACACAAAGTATAAATGTCATACACAAACATGGGATGTCACACTCCATGTGTTGATAGTCGAAATCAAAGTATTGAAAATGCACTTCAAAGTATAGAATGTTGAAATCAAGATATGTAATGTTAAGCTTTGTTATTTATTTCTGTATCGTAGTATATAACTATTATACTCATATAACACATTCAATATTTAACAAGAGTTCTGGGACGAACTTCGAGAAAACATGATTACTGTATCCATGCTCAGTTTTTCGGGTTAGGTATTTTAGACCTTTCTCATTTTGGGGTAGACCTAGCACGGAGCGTCGAGACAGAGACCCAGACAAGCAAAAACAGGGGTCATTTCAAAAATAATTTTATATGGAACATAGCGTATAGGGTACATGTCAGAGTGTGTAGACGCAAATGTACGTGGTTACAGGTAAGCGAACAGGTAACATCAAATGGAGACACAGATAAGAAATTATGTAACCGGTATCCACAGTCGTTATAGTCTTTTTCGTGGCTCAATGCGGCAGGTATGTGACCGTGGTAATTGATATTTCAATATCTCCGTTAAGGATCTCACCCGGGACGTCTGTTGTATTTTTCTGATGCCGATTGAGTTAAACGTGGGGGTGGGCCAGTAAGGTGTGATCAGCCAAGAGAAGTGTATCAGTTGTACGTGTAATGAAAATAAGGGGATGTAACTGTAGGTAAGGAGCACTAAAATATCGTTCTTTAGTGTTTTGTCGTAAGCAGGGGACAGGAATCCTTAATACAGACTAAATGAAAAAATGATTTTGAGATGTTCCCTGATTTTACTTCTCTCGTGTCCGTCTCTGGCTCCGTGGTAGGTCAGCCTCAAAATGAGAAATGTCAATTATGATGTTCGACTGAATTAATGTGAAAATTAATACTATGCGCAAGGCTACCCTTTTTAAGACTTGTGTTATGCTATGCAGTATTTGCTGAGAACACATTGGATATTAAAAAACGTGTATGATCTTACTCTGTGATTTTAATTAAACATTAAAGTTGCTGTTCTCTAAATGAATGTTTAGGCAGAGACGTATAATACATATGTATTATACGTCTCTGGTTTAGGTAACCAATATTGTGTGTAACTGATCTAGTAGTGCATTATAATAATCTTACGATCGATATCATATTGTGTGCATCTGGTAGTCGTACTGTTACAAAAGGGGAGAATACTTTGTTGCTATACCAGGATTGGAACCCAGGATCTTCTAGCTCTAAATAGACCAACCAACCAATATAAGAAAAAAAAATAGCCTGTCTCAATGAAGACATCGTCAACTAATTAGACCATATGTTTGGCTATAGTACTTCACGTACGTGTACTAGAGTAGGCGTAGTGGTCGTAAATGTATAGCGTACTTATGTATACTACGGCCTTCCTGTCCTATACTAATACGTATGTATACGGCCTTCCTGTACTAGTCCGTGACACGGTCACTGACTTATCACACGGGCTGTTACTAGTTGACCTACCGATCAATGCTGTGTGTGTGTATATATGTATTATATCAACTTCACCTATGTATAAAACACACATCCAAAAGTTATTCAAACACAAAATGGCGGATTTGCATAGTATATAATACCCGGTACAGTATAAATAGATAATCGTCTGCTGGATAACCGAACTACACGGTAGTGAAGCGGACGTAAAACCTATGAATCAATCTCAATCAATCATAAATTAGATAACTCCTTACGTGTTTAAGATAAGACTGCACTGATCTACTTAAACAATTCATTGTATACCTACTGGACATGGTGACGTACAAAATATGTAGGAAATATACTTACATTTAACAGTGATATCCGAGAAAGTTCCTGGTCAAAATATCCCAACAAATCGATCTACCCGTTCGCAAGCCTGCTTACCACATGTCCGATAATAGTAGTACGGGGGCACAAACTGTAACGCGGATATCGGTTAAAGCCTAGTACACGTGTACTACGTGTACTACGTGTAGTATTAGATGCCTTGTAGTCTAACCATTCTACGCCAAATTAAGCCGAACCTCAAACTAATTGCAAAAGAAACTTTATATTCACTATCATACTCCATAGTGTGTGGTTAGGTATTTCATGCATGCCTTTGTCAGTGTATATAGTATTATGTGATGGGCTCATAACTTTTCCTCAAAATGAAAAAAATATGGAAGTTGGTTGGTATACCCATGTCAAGAACAATGTCAATAATGACCTTTGCAGAAATTAATTGTCGAATATATTCTTGATTTTGTCTGAAAAGTAACTTTTCAATGCAGAATTTTAGTGGCGCAAAATTGCATTCAATATTATAATTCATGAAAACACTTACTTGTACATGCATTTCTGAAGTATCCGTGTATTGACTATTATCGAGAAAAATGTAAGAAAATACTTCAAATCTCAAGAATGATGGCATGTATTTTCATTGGATATTTTACAATAATTCATGAAGCTAACAAGGCTATTGATACAAGTCAAGCCATATTACCTGAGTGAGAACCTGAAGGTGTTTTGAATGGTGTACAAGTAAAATCGCACTTGCTTTGCATGCTTTTTCCCAACTTCAGGCAGCCTTGTTGGCTTTATGCTCAGTTGTGATTTATTCAGTGGAAATATATGCTATTATTCTGGAGATTTGACACATTTTCTTACATTTTTCTCGATAATAGTCAATAAATGGATACTTCAGGAATGCATGTTCAGGTAAGTTTTTTTCAGTAATTCCATTATTCATTGCAATTTTGCGCCACTAGAATTCTGCATTCAAATGTTACTTTTCAGACAGAGTCAACAATATTTTCAACAAATAATTTCTACGAAGGTCATTATTGACATTTTTCCTGACATGGGTATACCAATCAAATTCCACATTTTTATCATTTTGAGGAAAAGTTATGAGCCAATCTCATACTATATACACTGACATGAGCCTGTATGAAATACCTTAAGGTTCATGTAAACTGTTATGTTTGAGAACTGTGATGATATTGAATTGATTAATTTCTTAGTATTGATAAGGAGCAATTGCAAGTCATTTACACCATAACAAGATATTAATCTCAAGATTTCTTGGACATAATCAAACATCCTAAACAGGAACAAATTATCTTAAAATCCAATGATTAGTGTGTTTCCAACAGCGCCTTTCGCGACATTTAGAAGAAAAATTCAGTTGTTGTAATTACACGTATTTCAAAAATATGAACATATCTGGCATTAAAACTACTCGTTGAATAAGCATGACTAAAATGAATGTGATGGTTTGCATATTTATGGGCGCCGCCATTTTGGTTTACGAGTGTGTAAAGGTTCACATTAAACTTTGGGCAATTACAAACGATCCATTCAAATGTACTTTACGTTTTTAGTCTTGTGCGTTGTCAAGGACCTAGCTGTCAATATAAACCAAGGAATGGTTATTTCCCAGGGAATCTTCAACAGTGATTTGACATTAACTTCGAGCTGTTATCTTCTCTCTTCGTAGTTTCACAAAAACGAAACTAGAGATTTTGCCCCGCACCGAATATGAATAATTTAATGACCAGCAGAGTAATTCTTATGTTTCGTGTGGATATAAATGTAGTAAATAATTTTATTAACATGCAAATATAATTAAGTTTTTTAATCGAAATAGTGTTATGATACCAAATTGTCGTCAACTCCTTTCTGCGGAAGTATTTCCGGCATAGCACGCATGCTATTCATCTCGACAGCGATAAGTATACTACATGCTGAATTGGTGAATGTTTGGGGTTTTCAATGGGATCAGGTAAAGCCCATTGTGTGAATTACTTGTTTAATCACTGTATATTACAAATGTAATAGAATCAATTATCGTTCCTAACAGTATCGTTATAACACGTTTATTGTAGGCGATATCATGGTCAATTTGACAACAGGAAGTGACACTGTTTCCAAGGAAATTGTAGAATTTATAACTTTTGTAACCAATTATTTTTACATTTTGCTCACCATAATGCACTTTTGGTGTGAAATGACACAGGGTGTTACAGGTAGGTATAATCAATATTAGTATTTTTACGTTCAATATCAAGTAAACATTATATGGAAGCATGGAAGAAGCATGTGTGCCTAAAGTACCGAAGCAACTCCAAAACTTACCCGTAATCGTGATGTAGGCTAGTTATTGCTCTGTCTGTCAGGTCTCGCCCAGCGCGTGCCCAAATCACGCCGTCTGCTCATTCTAAGATCGCCCACCACCATTACACACACACACAATGGGGACCCCGGGCCAACAATCACAACATGAAGTTATTTAGATTATTGACAGACATTTGTGTTTCACCATGGCTGTAAAAAACCCATTGGAAATCAAAAGGGAGATTTGGAGTTGCTTGTGGAAAGCATACGAAGCGGCGATTTGCCCGGAGGTCGTTGTTAGTAGGTCGCCCAAGATATTCCTATAGAACCTTTCTTTCAAATACTAGTTTGTCCATGCGTATTAGTCGACGTCGTATTATAACATATCATCAACCACATCGCCGTACTTTTATTCCATTGAAAAATCCAATTGTCGGTGGGGTAAAATACCGTATACAGAAACTACCAAATGAAAATTTCAAATTTCAAATATATACTGTAAAAGACATAAATACAAATGGCTACAGGATGATAAACTTGGATTGTCTTCAGAATACTTGCAATGACATTACGAAGCATAGTGTGTTATGTGAAGCAGCCCGAGAGCTAGTACTGAAAGGTCAGTCACCTATTCAGATAATAAGTGAAGCAAACACTTATGGATTAGCCTCAGTTTTGGTGTTGAAATGCCAAGGTTGTCAGGAAAGATTTACATTTGCAACTAGTCCCAAGTTGAATATGAATGCCAGTGATGGTGCGGGAAGCTGCAGATCTACATACAGGCATGATGTTAATGTGCGAGCTGTGTGGGGAAGTATCTGTACTGGAAATGGGGCTTCACATCTGAGCGAAATACTTGCTACCATGGATTCCCCTAGCATTTCCCAGACAGTTTTTACAAAAATAGAACAAGAGATTGGAGATTTGTGGGAGAAAGAATTTGAAAAAGAAATTTTAGCAGCAGGAGCAGAGGAAAAACGGATAGCCATAGAGAAAGGTGACTATTGTGACGGAGTACCATGTATTACGGTAATCGCGGATGGTGGGTGGAGTAGGCGAAGTCACAAGCTTAATTATAATGCCCTAGGTGGTGCAGGGGTTATCATTGGGAAAGAAACTGGACGTATTTTGCATCTGTCAATCCGTAGTAAACACTGCTATATATGTGCACACGCTGCCAATCAGCAGATCATTCCAAATCCTCACAAAGGTTTCAAAAATTGGGATCAGAGTTCGCAGGCTATGGAAGCAGACATTATTGTGGAGGGTTTTAGGAAAGCCGATCAGATCCACGGTTTAAGATACACTAAACTTATTGCAGATGGGGATTCCTCAGTATTTGCGAAAATAAGACAAGATGTGCTGGTGTGGGGAAGCAAGGTAGAGAAAGTTGAATGTGCGAATCATATGTGCAAGGGTTTGAGGTCAAATCTGGAGAAACTGGTAGACAGTAATCCACAGTATAAAGGAAAGACCAGGATCGTCTTACAAAGGCAACCAGAGTGAGAATAGTAAGTGCCGTACGTTGTGCCATCAGAATGCGTTCCCAGAACTGTACCACCAACAAATCCCAAGCCAGCAAGTTGTTAGCACATGACATCAGGAACAGCATTCACCACATCTTTGGAGACCACAAAAATTGTTCTGATTTCTGCAAAGTAAGACCACAAGTAGAACCAAGTGTACAAAGTTCTGTTAATGAGGGTGTACAAGATGATGATGATGATGAATCTGATGTCTGGGCCATGCAAGCAAAAATGTCGAATGACGGCAGCTCGATAGAGTCGCAGGAGCAATCTAGACTAGGGACATGTTTGAAGGACCTCGACACAGAGATGCGCCAGGATATATGTATTCTTCTGGATCGGATTGCCTCCAAAAGTGATCGACTGCTTGGAAATGTAACAACAAATTTAGCAGAATGCTGGATGCATGTTAGATCAAAATTTGATGGGGGTAAACGGTATAACATTTGCAACAGGGGCTCATGGCACACCAGATGTTATGGAGGATCACTTAGGATGAACTTGGGTCCAGAATGGTCACCAATAACATGGCAGCAAGTAACTGGCACCTCCCCAGGATACCACTTCAACAAATTGTACAGTTCACGGAAACGGCAGCTCCAAATTAACACAGAGGTGAAACAGAAGCCAGCAACTAGTGCGGCTAGATGGAAAAAGAAAATGGCATCGGTAAGAGAAAGCACTGCTAAAAAGGCAAGGTTGGCATACGGTGCTGAGGCAATTGATGTGGTAGATGATGTATCTGTAGAAGAATTGGAACTGACAAAAACAACGTTTCTCAACAAACACATAAACATTTCGGACAACAAAATTCAGGCTTTAGAAAGACTAACACGACAACAATCAATATCCAAAGTTTGGCAGGATGAGAGGAGGAAACGAATCGCAGGATCTTCATTTGGCAGTGTTGTTAAACGGAATCCAAATATACGCTTTACGGAACATTCCGTGAAAATGCACATACGCAGAAAGGACTCCAACAGGAAAGGATAACTGTACATGAGTATACTCTTAAGAAGGCTGAGGAGGGTGTTAATGTACAAGTGAGCAACATGGGATTGGTGATATGTTGTAAAAATAAATTCCTAGGTGAAAGTCCAGATGGCAGGGTAAAGGAAATTGGTGGTGAAACAGGACTGATTGAAATAAAAAAAATGTGTTACATTCAGCACATATCAATCTGAATCAGGCAGTTGAAAGTAGGAAGAATGTTTGTTTATGTATAGTAGACAGCAAATTGACACTGAAAACATCTCATGATTATTATTACCAATGTCAAGGTTTACTTGGTGTAACAGAACTTTCTTGGATTGACTTTGTAGTGCGTACAGTAAACCCTTATCAGATGCACATTCAGAGCATATATAGAGACACAGATATATGG